TATATTTTTTATATATTTTTTATATATTTTTTATATATTTTTTTATATTCTTAGGGGTTATTCTCTTTTTTAATAAGCTTTTTAATTAATTTTTAATTTAAATTTTAGTATTTTAATTTTTTAATTATTTTTTAATTTTTTAATTTTTTAAAATTAAAAAAAAATTTGGCCCTAGCCGGGCTTAAGCCCTAGCCGGGCTTAAACCAAGGACCTTTAGGTATCACGTGCCTTGGGCTAAAAAATCTGGTTTTTAGCTTGTTTAAGCCCCTTAAAGGGGGAATTTTTAATTTTTAATAATTTTTTTAGGTTTTTACTAGTAAAAAGTATTATAAAAAGTATTTTTATAAATTTTTAAAATTTTAATTTTTTTGTAATTAGCCTTAAAAGGCTAAAATTTAAAGATTTTTTATGTGTACATGTATATACTTATTATTTTTAAACTTAGGTGCCTTATTAACTAGGCTAAAAAAATATATAATACTAAAAAAAAACTTATATTTTAAAAATTACCCACGTGACTTATAGTCTTGGTCATAAATTACACGCTATCCCTAAAACGGCCACTTTAACAAAGTGCTAGCTATCAGCCGCCGTACCTGCAGAATGGCTCGAGGAATCGTGTCCTCCACTGTGTCCTCCACTATCACCTCCCCAACTGTCACATCCTCCACTATCGCCTCCTCCTCCGTCCCCTCCACCATCGCACATGGATTGGCCTTTATATGACTGCCGACGAGAAGACAGGCTAGAATAGGGCACGCCGTTTGCTTGGCCAGTATATTGCGGAACTGGAGTACAAAGATAGTAAAGGGAAGAAGAGAAGAGAGCGCTAGGACGAGCTGGAGTTTAAAGTCTCTTTCTATAGTAACCAACCCAAGCATGCCTCTTCGCCCTGAGTGCCACGCTAACCATTCGGACATCCATTCCACGCCACGAATCCAATACAACAGGAGCCGTCCCAACCGTCCACGCAAGCAAAGAGAATATCAAACCTAGAATACACAGAGATCACACTCCAATCCTCAATCAATACCAAAGCAATCTCTCCCAATACTCATGACATCTTGTATGATCTCAGAGCCCGCCAAACTACATAGACACGACCACATGAAGATATAGATATAGCAAACCATCAAAAACACAAAAATAACCAACACCCCACATGGAACCCGCACTGCCGCAGCGTCTGCCGCCCAGCGGCGATGGCATCAATGCAGCGCAGCGACTTGCTGATCCACAGGTACGGCGCGTATCCTAGGGCGCCGAGGGCCGCGACGACGAGCAGGGCGAGGAGGAACTGCAGGGCCTTGTGCTTGTGCTTGTGCCATTTGCGCTTGGGGGGTTTAGGTTTGGCTTTCACTGACTGTCTAGGAGGGGAGGGGGATGGGATTGAGGTCGAGGTCGAGGGTTCTGCGGGTGGAGGTGTTGAAAATGCAGCTTCGGGGTATTTGGGGAGGTCGGCCATTTCTATGATGAGGTCGTCTGGGGAGGAATTGGGAGCGGGATGGAATGGACCAGGCTGGCTTTGGTTCGGGGGGAGGCCATGCTTGGGGTTGGTCTTAGGGAAGAGGAGGATGAGGACTGGAGACAGATGAGACTGATGAAGTTATGCTCATTCTATACTCTGCCATGAGTCAAACTAGACTTCCGGACTTGCATCCCATGCCGGACATTCTTGACTCAGACAGAAGTATCATCAAGGCGCTGAAGCAGGTTCAGAACGTGCATGGAGTCAAACTAAACATCACGGAAGATCAAGATCCGACTTGACACTGTCCCAGAGCCTCTCCAGCACGTTCTTCCGCCTGCGCACAAACTGCCAGTGGCCCTCTGCTTGACTCTTACCTGCAGGGACCACCCAGTGCCACCAGCCATTGCCCGAGATGTCTTCGTAGGGCTGGACTGCCTGCTCCCTGGGCTTGGGGTTTTCAGGCTTTGGCTTCTCAGGCTTAGGCTTCTTCGGCTTCTGGGTCTTTGGCTTCTGCGGTTTTGGCTTCTTGGGCTTGGGACTGTGAACCTCCGGCTTCGGAGCCTGCTGGTGCCCAGCACCAAGATCCTTCTGGTGCGACTTCGTCACCCCGTAATACACCCCGTAGATTATCCCCCCGAGAGCCGCGAGGATGAGAAGGACGATGAGGATCTTCATGACCGTCTTCCATTTCGAACAGTAGGAGGGAGCCTTGCGCGATTGGGATCGAGATTGTGCAGGCGTGCGTTGCTGGGCCCGGGCCCGGGTCCGGTTCAGTCTTCGCTCGTGGACGCGGACCGGTGCTAGCGAAGAGGTCTGTTAGCTTGCCCTCGTGTTGGACTTGGTGCAAGGGTCCTCTGCAGGAGATTGAGTCTTACTATACGTGATGACGCGAGCCGTACTCGCAGCCAGCGGCACGGCCACAGACACAGACACAGGCACAGGCGTCTCAGGATCCGAACAAGTGGAGGAATCAAGATCGTAGAGGCGTCGGTGCTCCTCGCGCTCGTCGTATGCAGGCGGGACAGAGTGAATCGACTGCGCGCAGGCTGCGGACTCGGGGTATTTGGGTGGTGGGAGATTGTCCATCTCGATCACGTACTCGCCGTCGCCTTGAGACTGAGACTGAGAATGAGACGAGCCGTCTGTCCATTCGGTGGATATGGGGGTTGGGGGTTGGTTCCACATGTTGGTTGATGTTCTCTCACTTGATGTTCGTAGTGAGCACTTGATGTTCGTAGTGAGGGAGTGAGAGATGAGGGAGTGTACTGTATATAAGGATGAGTGTCGAGATGACTCTTCCTGATAGACTTTGCACGGAAATCCAGTCCGTCGGGCGTGCGTTCCTTACCATGCCCTTTCGCTGCACAGCCACAGGAAAGCAGAACTGGTGATGATCCAATCTCTTGCTGGACGAGAGAAGCAAAGTTGGGGCGACTCAACAGGCTGTCCATGGTTCCTAGTCAACGCACGTAATATCCATGAGGGATATACTACGCCGGTCTACCCTAACCTGCAGAGAGCCTTAGGAGCGACCAGAGTCAGCGTCCTCGAGCCCGTAGATCGGTACAGAAAACATCAATCTAAACAACTAGATCATAGTCTCTCAACTCATCACGACATGAACAGAAACAGTAGAGTCCACCAAAACAACCCTAAGACCCAAAAACAAACAAACAAGCATCAGGGAGCGACAGGATAAAATCCCCCACAAAAAGCACAATCTTTGCACCCGAGAGAATCGGACAGAGAACGAGGCCCGCGAAACACCAGAGCGATATCGCCAGGCACTCCACGAAGCTGTCGCAGCAAAAGCAGCAGGCGTCGTTGCGTTGTGACGCGGACTGGCGAGGGGGTCGTGTCCGAGCTGGCACGGTCTTGTTAGTGGGTTGGTCTTCTTGAAAGGATGTACATACCGGTGCTTTGTGTTGCGTTTACCGAGGCCTCGACGGGCGCGTACGTGGGCGCCTGGGAGCGCGTTTCGGAGATGGAGGGCTGGTGCTCCTCGAGTTTGTATGGCGGCGGCAGGGTATGGCATGATTCGGGGTATTTGGGGAGGGGTTCGATGTTAATCACGGCATCGCCGGTGGATTGAGAGATGGCCATTGTTCTGATGGATGGGGTGGAAGCGAGTAGGTGGGGGACAAGCAGAAAGCTTCGCAGGAGAACGTGGTTGAGGAAGGAATATATCTCTCAAGTGTGAGTCAGTAGACCTCGGACTGGCATTCCACCTCGAACTGTGAATGTCCAGGATGACAATTCCGGCCAATGTGAAGACTTAGGGTTAGGGCTACCTGGATCTATTGGAGGGAGGATTGGTGAAGATAGAAGTAGCTTGAAGATGGGCATGACTCTTCTCAGACGCAGGTCTTTCAACCAGGACTATCCCCCGTCCACGGACTTCACTCCAGTGCCTATCCTCTTCCCCCTTGCTGCCCAAACAAACCACAATCCCAAACTCCCCAAACGCCAGCAAAGAGCAGGCTCCCATGCTCCAGTTCAGTTCTCCCACTCTAATCAGACGTATCACGACCGACAAACGGATCCACGAAACAGTACCAGATGACAACAGCAACAATGGACAGCAGAAACAGCCCGAACAATATACTGCCGATAATATCGCAGGGCTTGCTCTCGCAGCATGCCATGAATGCATCGCCGCATTTGTCGCCGCAGGGGGGCGCATCGGTCCGAGAACGAGATCTGGATGTCTCTCCAGCTGGGGCTTGCTGGCTGCGGTTGCGGTCTGGGGGGACGTTCAATGTTAGCGTGTCTCGACTCTTCCTGTTGTTTGGCTATGGGAAAGGCAAAGGGGGTCGTACCGTTGCTGGGCCGCACATGGCTTGTATATGTAGGCGCCAGTGAACGGGTCTCGGCACTAGAGGGCTGGCGCTCTTCCAGTTCGTATGCGGGCAGCGTGTAGCAGGATCCTGGGTATTTGGGGAGACTGTCCATCTCCAGCACGAAATCGTGGATTTGGTCTTGTTTCATTGTGTCTTGGAGGGGAGTGATTGGTATCAAGCGGAAGAAAGGCCAGTTTGTTAATGCTGGGAGGTAGGTAGAGTATACCGGTCGAAAGACGAAACGAAAAGAAAAGAGACACAAGGAAAGAGAGGAACATAAAAGGGCAGAAGCCATGACTCTTACATGGGAACCATGAGAAACCCAACTCTAACCTTCCGGAGCCATCGTCCGGCCCTTCACAAGCCACCACTCATCCATGTCCCTATTAGAACGTCTTGTGGTCCACGCGTACAAACGGCCACCAGAACGGAGAAGTGACGATGCCGAGAATAATCAGGGCCATAAGTGCTCCCAACATGCACCAGATCGCTTTGCCCGCGCAGTGCCGTAGCAGTTGGAGAGGTCGTCGGAGGGGCATAAACCGTCCCGTGTTTTTATGCGCTGATGCTGATGCTACGGGGTCTGTTAGTACCGTATTGGGCTCTTTGAAGGAGGGCTTCCTTACCACCTCCACCTCCACCTGCACCAGTGCGGCGCGGTGAATTCGGGGAAGCTTGAGCTTGAGTCCGGGGCTCAGAACCTGACCCAGACTCAAGGGCCGAGTTCGTAGAGGCCTGATCCTGACCCGGAGCCTCGAGGTTGGCATAAGGCGGAGGCAGTGTATAGCAGAATCCCGGGTATTTGGGGAGATTCTCCATCTCCATGTCAATCACGGCATCGCCGGGTTGAGTAGAGGCCATGGTCAAACTCGTATGACAAGAAGCGTACTGGTGATGATGAAGCGTAGAGTTGAGTAGGCGAAATTTGACAATCAACGGGTACCTATTTGAAGAGATATATCTACCCAGCGCATGAACCGTGACACATACCTCGTGCTGGCGATCCGTGGCATCAAGGTATGAGTAAAAGTAGACTTCCGGACGTGATCTCCACGACCATCTGCACTGACTCGTGGCTGGACCCGGGATTACCGTTCCGACCACCTATCCAAGCACGAGGCGAAGAAACGGACATAAGAGCCGAAGAACCACCGATCAGTATGACGTTGTTTCTTCGAGTGAAGATGATGTTGAGACTCTCGCGGGGAGGGCTGTAATTAGGGTTAGGGCTCCTCCCGGTGTAAGGTGGATTGGAAGCCCGAGAAGGAGCAAAAGAGAAAGGGAAGAAGAAAGCGGCTTGTAAGTTGGAGATTTCGACGATGGTTTCGTTTGCGTGGCCGGAACTGACCTCCATCGACTCGCCTTTCGACCTCACTGCACCGGTCTAAGCCACCAGAGCAACAACCCTCCTCCTCCCACCTGCAACCTTCTCATCCCCCCCATTTCCACCCTCACCCTCACCCTCATCATCCCCAGCCCCCGCAAGCCGTCCACCTCTCTTCGGCACAACCGCACACAGAACCGCCACCCCAAACAACGCAACGCCCAACGCCCAACTCCCCCGCAGGCCCTGCAGATACGACCTTCGCGCACCCGCCAGCATCTCACCACCAAAGACATCCTGCAGCGCGCTCGAGCCGGCACTCAGCACGTTGCCCGCGTCCACGCCGGGCATATACCGTCCGATATTGCGGAGGAGGAGGTTATTCAGAATGGAATCCGTGGAGCCGACGCCGTAGGCGGCAGAGATGAATTGGAAGACTGTCAATCCTCATTAGTACAGCCACACTTGATAGGTTCGAGAGACTCACATAGCACGGTAGCCATAGCGATCGGCTGCTCCTCGCTCGACGTCAACGCGCCCGCGACGATAATAGGGATCTGTACGGATATTCCGGTGCCTGCGCCGTAGAGGATCTGGTACCCGATTATCTTGGCCAAGGAAGTGGAGAGGTCCATGCTGTAGATTAGACCGCCGCCGATGGTTGCTAGGATGCTGCCGACCAGGAGGAAGGGCTGGTAGTAGCCGACTTTTGTCACGATGGATGAGGAGAGGAATGTTGCGATTGCTGGACTGTTAGGGGGCATAGCCGACGGGAGAGGGTATACTGACATGTTGACAGGATGGTTGGGATATTCTTCACCCCGCTTCCCATTGGGGAGTCGCCGTTGATGGCTTGGAAGTAGATGGGGAGGTTGTAGATCAGGGAGAAGTTGGCGGCGTTTAGGCTGGAGGTCTAAGTATCAACATGTAAACCAATAATGGAATGAAAGTGGACACGGCCAGGGGCTGAGCTTACAAGAAGATAAACGCACAGCAAGCGCCAATATCCCGGTTCAGCAACAATCTCGGCACCATAAGCGAGCGATCGCCCTGATACCACTCAACGAGAACAAAAGCAACGGTCAAGACCACCCACAGAACAAGGAGGGCTATGATGGCCCCAGAGCTCCAAGGGCGAGTCACACCTCCCCACTGAAGCGCAAGAAAGAAGCACACGAGCCCAACGAGCAAAATTCCCAGGCCGACGTAGTCAAAGCGCTTCAGCTTCTCCCTAAGCGGCGTACCGTACGCAGCCTTCGCATGCCCAGGCGTGCGGAAGAAAATCACCAGCCCGGCGGCGGCCACACCCCCGATAGGAAGGTTGATATAGAAACACCAGCGCCATGAAACATGCTCCGAGAAGACCCCGCCGAGTAACGGGCCCGCTATACTAGCAAGACTAAACGTCGAACCTAGCAAGCCAATGATAACCGGAACCCTTGCGGGGGGCGCAATGTACGCTGCAATGGTGTAGCACCCGCCCGTGAGGCCTGCACCACCCATACCCTGTACTGCTCGCCCAACGATCAAGGCGACGCTATTGGGCGCCAGGGCGCAGATCAGACTGCCGACTTCGAAGATCGCGATGGCGGTTAGGAAGGAGCCGCGCAGGGAGAAGATCTTGTAGACGATGCCCCAGGCGGACTGGAATGCGGCGAGCGTGAGAAAGAAGGCGCTGCCGTACCAGGCGATGTCGTGCATGCTTTGGAATTGCACGGTGATCTTGGGGATTGCGGTGGCGATGATGCTCTAATATGAAAATTAGTGGTGGTAAGGTTGGGTTGGGCGAGGGCTGGTACTTGCCATGTCGAGAGCGACCTGCATCATAGAAACTGTTAGTTCTGCACTGATCGACGAGGTCATGGCTTACCAGGAACATGCTCAGCATTAAAGCGATGACGATAATGATCAAGGTGGGCATTGGTGGGTAATGCGCCTCCGACTGTGCATTTTGAGCATTGAGAGGTGCGTCGGTCTTCAGGACTTCGGTATTGGCGGTACTCGAGTTGCTGTCATCCATTGTGGGTTGCTTGTGCGTTCCTATAAGGGCTGTAAGAGATGTGAGAGGTAAAGGGACCTTAAATACTTATCGAGCTCCAGTCTACTTTGAAGCTGTCCAAAAGTACCCGAGGGATCCTGGTCGATAAGTACCCGAGGAGCAGATCGTTGAATTTCACCTAGACCAGCTTAGCAATCACACCTGAATAAGGGGTTTTGTATCCGGTTTCGATCAAAGGGACTTACCAGCATGTTTGATAGCAGAAGCTGGACGCCAAAGTGCTGTCATTGTTGAGATGGATGCTGGTTGGGAACAAGAGACCAGCCTGAGAAAATCGCGTACATTCACTATTTTGAAAAACATCATGACATACATGTTGAAGTAAAACGTCACCTAGACATTCCAAAGATTCAACACACAAGAGACCAAAATGATCGTCTATGCCATCAAGATCTTCATCAAGAAATACCGCACAACTTCCAGATCGAGTCGGTAAGGCCTAAGACAAAACTCCAATCATGCCCAAATAGCTTTGAACTTGGCGTTGAACTCTTCCCGGAGCATTCTAAACGCCTTGAGGACCTGCAAGAGTCCTTCACCCTCGAGGAACGCATCTGAATCGTCGTTCTCTTGACCATTCGATGGACCTTTGAACTGCTGCGACTGCGGAGTGTCCTTGCTGCTTTGGTCAGGGTTATCATTCAAATCGCTATCGTCACTCCAACTGTCGTCCCAGCTGTCCGCTACTTTTGACTTCTTCAACTTCTGTTTTCTCGAGGCTGTAGCGCTCGTGTTTGTCGTATGCGGTCGTTGCGGCAGACTGGCTTTGAAAGAGTTACCAGATCCAGACATTTCCAAAAGTTCGTCGTCCAAGTCATCTTCCAGCGTATCGCCGCTCCCCATAGTCTCCAGCAAGTCCGGATCCAATCCAGGCGAGAGTTTCATAAAGTTCTCGAGGCTAGTGACGATCGTAGCTAACACAAGCGAAAAGTCGTTGAGAAGGTACCACAGATCTCCTCGTCGGATCATATTCTCAGTCATGAGGGCGTGAACATTGCCGTGCTTGTAGAAATCGTACAGATACGCATTGAGAAGAACTTGTCCTTCCTCGGGAGAAACTTGAAGATGCGGAATCACCGACTGCTCGAGCCAGACACCGCTGCGGACACGGGTGCAGAGCTCGCTGATTGTTTTCCACTTACCATCTCGGTGTCCGGATAGGGCCACGAAGGCAGAGGTCACTTGGGTCGCAGGGAGAAACTTCAGCGAGGTGCTTACATCCTTGGCAGGCTTAAGCCCTCCGCATTTCATACCCGTCAAAGGAAGCACGCAGTCTTCTTTTCTGATATGCTGGTCAATGAACGTGGTAACATATGCTGAGTAGATGCTCAACGTTTCCTTGTTATGTGATTTCAGTATCTTGGCAGCATTGTTTGGCAGTGGTTGAAGGACAACGACAGACGTAGATTTGTCCCGTGCCTTCCAATTTTCCAAAATGCTAGGACGAAGGTGGTAGCGGCCAAACAAATGCGACAGAACCAACATCAGCGTGCGAAGAGTTTTCTTTGTGTCACGGCCAATGTTCCTGCACAGCTGATGGAAATAACCCTGGCTAAGCAACGCGTGGAACGCGAAACTCGAACTTCCAGTGTAGTATAGGTGACCAACAATCCCAGCAAAGTTCAACGGAGCGCCCTCTTTACTCAGGAGCCAGTTGCGGCGGAGATACTCGATCGAAAACCGTAGATGGTGAAGGACGGTATGTTTGGACTCATCACCACCCAAGTATATCCGAGGGCAGGATAGGATGGAGTTAACGGCTTTGACAGCATAGGGACTCGCCTTCGATTCATGGAGCAGGGTCATAAGACGCAAAACAAGGGTCGTCGTAAGAGGAAAGTGGCCGTTGAGTTCGGGCAATTTCGAGCTAAGTAAACGGCAGACTTTGGCCTGCGGAATACACTGGAAGACAACGTTTCCGAGGAAGTCGAACCCACGGCGTCCGGCTCGACCAGCGGCCTGCCGAAACCCGAGAGCAGTCAAAAAGACAGAGTTTCCGGAGAAGACCACGGTTTTGCATGGCATGTTGATACCCAGTGCTAATGTGCCTGTAGCTATTACAACACGAAGGTACCCTTTTCGGAAAAGGATCTCGCAGACCTGTCTGTATTTGCGGTTCATACCAGAATGATGGACGCCAATCCCGCGTCTGAGGGCAGTGATCAGGCGTTCAGGAACGTCGCGGCATCGCAGTTGTGTAGCATATTCTTTGAACTCGGAAATCGACAGCTTCATTTCGTTTGCGAAATGGAACCCAGAGACTGGTGCACTAGGGTCGAAGGTCTCGAACATGCTGGAGTCCTTTGATGCCGACCGCGCCAGTTCTGTCTTTGACAATCTCTCCTCCTCATCGTCACCGCGGTTTCTCTTTCCTTTGGCCTTTTTTGGCTCTCGAACACGGATCTGCTTCTCCTGCAGCTTTTCCCATTCCTGAAACTTTGCCATCTTCTGTTTCCATACAGGACTGGACGCTTTCCAATGATCTTCTGATGCTTCCAACTCGGTAAGGAGGTGATCACAGATCTTTTCGCAATAGCTTCGATCATAGTTGAAGAATAGAACCGGAAGTGCACCCTGTGCATGAAGCGAGCAGATCAGAGGGAGCGTTGTGTCAAGGATACTATCGTGGCGTACAGAGCGTGGACCAATAAGATCTTCAATCTCGCCAAAAGACACCTGAATGCTGGGACTTGTATGGTCCGAGACACTTGCCGACAACTCTTTGACTACTTCTTCAAAGGGCGAATTAGTGTCGTTCATCCATTCCCGGAGAAGTTGTTTCAAGCGGGCTTCCCATTCGATCACATCTGCTTTCTTGATAATGCTGGGCAAAGCAATATTGGGATCTAGCGACTTATCAACGGGAAACGCTGCTGACGAATGTTTCTCCATAGATTGCCAAAGCATGAGGCAGTCGCGCGGCTCCAGTGTCAAGTCATCGGGCAGACCTCGCGAGCGATCAATCAAGCTCGCAACCGGGTGCATAAACGCCATATTAGGACACAAATCGAGGCCGAGCGGAGCTAGCTGTTGCGGAGTGGAAAGTCCATTGAACAAGAACTGGGCTGGCGGATGGTAGACGTATTTTCTCAGATCTGAGTAACGTGCCTTGTGCTCGATCATCTTGAGCTCCAAGCCGTTGGCCTTTTGAGTCATCTCGAGCCAATGTCTAAACTTGATGGGATTTCCGATAGTCGCTGACAAGGCAATAATCGGACACGGTGCGAGAAGAAGCAGCTGTTCCCAGATGACGCCGTCTTCTGCTTGACCGATACAGTGTACTTCGTCGAATATAATGCGCTTCACTCGAGGAGACCATGACTGGGCATTTGACGGTGCGAGGAGCATTATTTGCAAAATATGAGGCACGGTAACTAGCACTTGGCAGCCAGTCGGGTTATTTATCCTGTGATCGCGAGTGTGAATGGCCCAGACCGACTTGCCCGGAGTGTTATATGACTTTGAGAACCGCGCTTGAACTTCAGCAGCAATCTGGTTGACCAGTGCCTTTGTCGGAGCGACATAAACCAAGACCCCATCATCATCATCTTCTAAGACTTGCTTCATGGCATAAAAGCTGTGAGTGTATGTTAGCAACGCTACTTGAAAATAACCACAGGCCTGCTTACGATATGAAGGTCTTTCCCGCACTGGTCGGAGCCACAACGAACAGGCTTCTGCGCGCGTCAATCTGGTCCAGAACATCTCGCTGCCACTTGTCTGGTTCAAAGTCATGGACTCGGGGATCGGGCGCTGAGCCCATGCTGCGATCCAAGTATGGACCCGCATGTACGAGCTGAAACTCTGTTGGCGATAATGTAATCCCAAAATCGCCTATTGTTTTATCCAATCGCACGAAATTGAATGACAGCTTGCGCTCTTCCTGGAACTGCAGGTCAATCTGAGGCAGCTTTAGCGCTTGCACCGTCCCATGGATATGCTTTGCGATGTCTTCAGTGATTCCTTTTTTGAGACTTGCAATTTGCTGTATAATCTGCCAAATAAGTGCCGCGAGCTGTATCGAAACATGAAGCTGGTGGGAATCAAGTTCTTTCACCCAAGCATTGGCCAGTATGCTCACCATGTAGGCCAAAATCTCCGCCTGTAAAGCACTTCTCTTCTCAGCGGGCAAGTTCGCAAGGTACCCCTTTACTTTCACGTATCGCGTAACCAAATCCGGCATCTTCTCAAAGCTTTCAACATTGATACTCCACGTCGCCACATGCTTCTTGAACGTCTCCGCTTCTTTTGACTTTTGCTGAGCGGCAATCTGATCTCGAACCGATACCTTTGTGGACTTTCCGTGCTTTCTATGCCCTGTGGAAGTGTTTTGCTTTGCTGAGGCAGCGGAGGATGGTACGTGAAACTGCCTCGACGGTTTGCCTACCTGAACCTTGACAAAGACTGCCTCTGGCATCAGAGATCCGCCTACCGCGTTTGTAAGACTTCCGGCATAGCGTGCCACATCCGTCATAAATCGTTGGTTACGACGATTGCTAAACATCTTCTCTCGTTCCGTGAGAGCAATATTTGCTCTATGATCAAGTGGCCGCTTGTGATTGTGCCAGTGCGTAAGCTCTTGGAAGATTCGCGACATGCTTCCGCTGGGCATGTCACAAGTGGCGTCACTTGTCACGAGTGAGACAGGTTTTAAATGAGCATCTATGACAGGATTCTGGAAGGGTAGAACGCCGACTACGCTTTCGCTGTCCATTGGTTGAGACGCCCCCTCTTTTTTACTGCTCGAAGCATGCCCCTTGTGATCGGAATACGCCGTCGGCTGAATGTCGATACTAAACAAGCTGAGTAGGACGGACCGGAGCGCTTCGAACTTCTTCAGTGTGACCTGGCCAAAGGTGGTAATTCGTTTTGCCTTACGGAGTACTCTCGCGGTTTCAAGGAACAACCGTCCATCGACTGCGTCGGCGAGGTCACAACGAGACGAGATCTTCTTAGTCAAATTCTGCCAGAGTTCCGAGGTGAGAACTTTGCGTAGTTTTCTGGCATATCTCTGGAGGAAAGCTTCGTTTTCCTTAGATCTGGGGACGACCACCGCCCTTTCGGAAAGTTTGCACTGCGATAGTATGGCCGCGTGCATCAGCATTGCACGAGCCCTAAGGGTATTATCCTTGTCTAATTGAGAAGATTGCAGCATTGTGCCAATCGTGATCACGGTCGCCCACTCACGTTGAGTCAGCTGAAGATCAAGTTCTTTGTGCATGTCTAGAATTGAACCTAGAAGCACTGGCTCCATAATAAGTAACAGTTTATCTCCTCGAGATACGGCCGACGGATATGGCGAGGAAGATGCACCGTACGATGGCGTTGGTACGCGGGAGTCCGAGCTGACCGGGGCATTACTGGGCGGGTCATTCAATTCGTAAAGCTTTGAGGCGCGAGTTGCTGAACCTTCGAGGATCATGGCCATAACCTGTAGCAGTAAGCTATCCTGCGTACCCAGGTGTTCTTATACTATCTCACGTACCTTGGAATCACGACACTCCAAGCTGTTCAGAATGGCAATATTGTACCCATTGCAAATGAACCAGTGTATCATCGAGCGCATCATAATCTTGGTTGGCCATACTTTGGGTGAGATGCTGGAAGCTTCCATATCCTTGTTTAGTGAATCTGCTTCAACGCCCTTCCGGTCATCGTCGGGGATGTGAAGTGCCTCCGAGACTACAAACGGGGTTGAGCCATCGTGGCACATCAGGAAGTACGCGCCAACGGACTGCAGATACTGCTGGAACTCAGTAGATTGGTAGTTATTGAAGCATTTGACCTGCATCTCTGGAACTGCTGTCGCGAGGTTCTGAGTGAGGTGTTGCAAGATTGCTTCGCGGGCGAGTCGGTACTTTCGCCGTCGCTCCTTCCCCGAGTCCAACGGGATGCACGCCTGGGCGTGGTCTGCAAAGAAGACGACATGAAACACACATTTGCGCTGGCGGAGGTTTGCGAGGAACTTTTCAACGAGCGAGGTGGCATGGAGTAGTTGAAGGCCGTTTGTGAAGTCCAAGTCATGGTCGGAGAAACACTGCAGCAGCAGCGAGTCTCCTTCGACGAGGAACAGTTCGTCTCCAGCATAGTCGCCAACTAGATCTAGAGTGCGGGAGGAGAGGCTTTCGAACCTGCAAAAGTGTTATAGGGAATCCAGCAGAAAAGGGTCTCAGTCTCTGGGTAACACACCATTCCAGAAGCTTTGCGGTGTCAGCCATTTTGGCCTGCCGCCTGCTGCGAAACCTGTGATCTTTGGGCAGTACCAAGGAGTGGACGTTCTTTGAAGAGATGGCAGAAGAGTCAGTGGGTAGGAATAGTTGAGGAAGGTAAACAAAAGAAGAGAGTGGGCAGAGGGGAGGGGTGGGGGTGTTTGGTCTGTGGCTGACAAACAGAGGACGAAGCGAATACCGGTATCAGCCACGCCCACAAGTACAATTCCTATTCCCTCTGGCCCCTAAATACCTTGGGCTCTCTAAGGCCGAAAGCTGCGACATGATCAATGCGCAGTAGACAGAAGAATGCCGAGTGTTTATAGATGTTTAGTTTCTCGCCTCTACCGTAGGTACTAGTCGGGCTGCACAACTTAACTCATCGTCAACAGGCGTCTTTGGCACATTTTGACACCTAACCTTGCATAGCTGACCACAGTCACTTGCACTTCGCGCTAATATCTCACTAAAAGTTCTACTTCATCATCTGCAGGACTGCCCAGATGCCGCCATGCCTGGTCAGGTAGATACAGTCAGGAAGTTCGTTACCACAGTTGGCACCCCTTCTTTTCATAAGTTTAATTCCAAAGACGCCGCTGAGTACCTACGTATAGGATGCTAAGCTCTTGATCTATGGCACTGTAAGGTCCTGGCAAGTAACTCCCTCTAGGGTGGACGAACCATACCCGTCACGTGCAAGTCCAACGGCCTTAGGTAGGTAGCGTACCCCGTTCGATCTTCTGTCGTTTCCTCTCCTCACTGACGAGCTCGGCAATAATGAACGGTTCACGCGTCCGACTACGCGCATCTTGTGACGCTTGTCAATCTCTGAAGGTTAAATGCAGCCAAACCAAGCCCGAATGTCTACGCTGCGTAAAGCACAGTCTGCGATGCGTCTACAGCCCGCTGCGCCGCATGGGCCGCCCGAGGAAAATGGCCACAACGCAGCCGTCATCCATATTTAATCCCTCGGATGCGAATAAGCCCGACTTTTTGAGCCAAAGGCCTGACTCGAATACCCAAATGTCTTCGGCGAAATCGCGTCCGGAGCCACCAAACTTACGAGAGATGGGCGATGCCGGCTTCTCCCTCGCTACAAACTCGGAGACTGTCAACTTGGCGAGCCTCAACGACCATTTCGTGGAAGACATCATCGATTCTTCTTCATTGACCCGTACCTCATCTGTGTCACAGCTCTCGGCCGTGCCATCTTTCGATAACAACCCATATAATTGCCAACCAAACGCTTCGGAAACCAACGACTTGATCCTGCAACAAGCTACGGCGGATACCGCGACTACAGGCACAATACCATTTTCTCAACTCTCTACCGAGCTAACGAGATGGCCAGCAGTGGAAAAAGGGTATAGTGCGGATTCGAATACAAAATCTACGTCAAATACTACTCCATCCTTTCCCAACGTCCTGTGCAGAGACCCCAAACCAACTTCTACAATACCTCCACAACCAGAGAATGCCCCAGTTCTTCCAGGTGAAGCGCGCATTAACGGAGAGATCAGACAGTCTTCTCAGGATCCCAGTCAAACAACCAACAGTAGTGGAGGCTGCCAAGCGCAGTGTCACATAGCCATTCTCCATCGTCTCGCCTCGATGGAGCACTCTATTGCTATCGAGGCGGGACCGACGACAATTGACTTTATTCTTATCGCTCAACAAGATCTGTGCCTCCTAAGCGGCCGACTGTTTAACTGCCGGTACGAAGAAAGAGATGGGTGTCTTCACTCGCGTCCGTCAAGCATTATATCCCTAGGACTTCTCGCCGAGCAGGTGGTCTTATTGCTAGAAGACCTTTTTCGCCGGGCCGCAAGAGCTGCCCATGATCGTGATCACGTTTTCCGGACCACATGGTTGGTGACGCCTGACACACTGTCCGAGCAATCTGCGGTCCGCTTTGAGCGGTCTACTCGTGGTATATTTGATCAGAGAGTCACTTGCCCTATACCTGAGGCTAACTCCGAATTAAGTCTGGGGAGGTACAAGGTACCTGCTACCGCTAAAGCCCGTGCCATGAAGCAGATTTTACGGCGGCGCATTCGGCAGCTATTAGGCGTGCTAGCTGATGTGGCAGCCTACTGTGCAAATCGGGATACCCTGGACAACAGTGCGATTCTGGAAGCGGCAAGACGACTGGCAGAAGAACTCCATGGCCGAGTAGGGTCACTTCAGGGACGAGTGGAACTGGCGGGCTAGAAAGACCCCGGTCAATGCCAGCACTCTTCCCTATCGCGGGATGGTGTGAGAAAATGAGCCCACGGAGCTGGGTCTTCTACATTCAGCGGAACTACAAGGCTCCAAAGTCTGCCTATACGTACCTTCTCTCCTATACCAGACTTCTGAAGGACATCATTCACAATAAACCAACGGTAACATTACTAATGCGCGACAAGGGAGCCCAAACGGCTTGGCGCCCCGGGTACTTTTCTATAATGTCGCCGGTTGGCCACGAAATGTACCCGGAAAACACTAGGTATTACTCCAAAGAAACCCAAAGCACCAACGCTTCCTTCAGTCAGCAATGTACGCTCCGTCCACCACTACTGCGAGTACAACAACGTCACCAACGGACGCAATACAGCGCTCTGGACACATATGTGAGTGTCTTGCGCAAACCTCCAAAGTCATCCAAGCTTTTTCCGATTCCATCTCGTCCCCAACATCTTCACAGGTCTTCATGTCAGTCGACGATGTCTTGTGCAAAGGGAGCGCACTGGTGGACCACTGGGAAAGCTTGCATGCCTGCCCGGATGCAGAGACACACCTAGATGCACCCCTTCTCCAGGCGATGATAAATGCTGCGGTACAGATGACGGCGCTGTACGAGGCCGCGGTTGAATGTATGCTCGGTAATGGCGGGGACGAGGCCAGGGATCAACAACCCCATGGCGGGGCAGGTATGTCATCTAGCGGCAACCCCACATCCCGCTCAACGGCCGGATCGAGGCATTCAAAAGGCTCGCTTTGAGACTGATATCGTGACAGGCTCACGAGACACTCGCAGCAACGGCACTGCCGTGCAAGATCAACCTGCCTTTGTTGTCACGAAGGTCTCAGCCCGCCTGGGTAGCATGCTGCTAGATGAGGAGCAGACAGAGGTCGTGGCCCGGGTGGCTCTGCGCCACGAAACGATGAGGTTGGGACAGATGTTGCATGATATCGAGGAGGATATGAGCACCATGCGTGAGCGTGATGCATCGGCCGAGGCGGGTCACCTTGATGGTGATGTTCGGAAGGTGAGGCAGACTACGGACTTGTTGCTTCGGATTCTTGGCAGAATCAATTGTCAGTGATAACGGGATTGAGGAGATTGTCAGGATGGACCCTTATAAGCGGAGTCGAGAAGTGCGATTGTTGATAATCATTGATAATCACGGGCCAAGGAACAATTGGCGTGAAGAACGCTATATGCGGCACATGAGACAGCGGACTGTGGAGTCGCCGCTGCAAAAGTTTCATCTTTCCAACTACTGCGCCAATATTGCAACTTACAATTCTCGTCCCTAAGGACACTGATAGCTAGCCGGAGCCATGATACACGCGCTGGGAGAGTCCAATACGGGAGGGCAAGACTTGATAAGGACACCGAACTATCAGTCGAGGTATTGCGATGGGCTTCGGTGTTGAAGTCCAGTGCAGTGTGCTCCATGAGCCACGCCAGTCTATATCTGGCGATAAGTGGCGTAAGGGTCTCGCCGTGTGCTAACCCAATCCCACCAGTCACCGCTGAGGCAATTCGCACTACATCCCGTCTCGCACGGCCCACTACGGGCCTGGAGCTATAAAAGACGGCAGACTAGAGGGTGCACTGAAAAATTTACTGCTCAGAATCCAGTCGCTCCCTCTGCATCATGGGACTCCTCTCGAGCCTGAGCGGTTTGGCAGAGGCCAATCTGGAAATCAAGACCCTCGCATATTGTGTACTCGCATTGCTAGTTGTTTATTGGGCGAGCCTTGCGGTTTATCGACTCTACGTAAGCCCACTCGCACGGTTTCCAGGGCCAAAGCTTGCGGCTTTGACGTACTGGACCGAAATCTACTATGAGCTCATCCACGGTGAAGGGGGACAATATTTCTACAAATACCGCGAGTGGCACGAGAAATATGGTACATCTTCGCCCCCGTCGAAATCCCAAGAAGTACCTGACAGCATGAACTAATCAATTGACCATAGGGCCCATTGTCAGGATTAATCCCAGAGAACTGCACATCCAAGATGCCTCGTTCTTCGAGACATTTTACATGTCCGGAAAGCCCGCCAACAAGCTCAAAGAATTAGCGCACCGCTTCAACAACCAGACCTCAGCAATCTCCACGCCTGACCATTTCGTACATCGGACACGTCGCAACGCTCTCAACCCATTCTTCTCCAAGCGCAGGATCTCCGAGCGAGTGCCCCTCATCAAGCGCCAAATGGACGAGATCTGCCAGCGTCTAGAGAAAGAGTTCCGGGACACTGGTCGGGTGCTTGTTGTAGACGACATGTTTGGCTGCTGGGCGACTGACATCATCGCTGAATACTGCTTCGAGAGACAATATGGCTTTATCCGAGAACCGGACTTCAAGTCAGGCTTTGTGGATGTTATGATGGATCTTGTGGAGCCGATTCTATGGGTTACACATTTCCCTTTGATCATCAAGCTCATGCAGAGTTTGCCTGATTCCGTAGTGAGCTGGCTTAATCCTGGCATGAAGAACGTGCTGGACTTTAATGCTGTAAGGGAGCCCAAGAGCTCACTGCCTGACTTTATACTAACTACTCCCAAAGGAAATGCTCGCCCAGGTCAACGAAGCCCTAGGGCATGCGCAAGAGACGGACTCGAAAGGCCAACGCGCAGAAACAATCCTCACTTCCATCATCCAATCCGATATTCCTCGCTCGGAAGTAGCACCCGAGCGCCTACAACATGAAGCGATTAGCCTCATGGGAGCGGGCATTGAGACTACCATGCGCGCACTAACCCTCTCCATCTTCCACATCACCAACACCCCCTGGGTAAACCAGCGCCTGCGCGAAGAGCTCAACGCAGCCATTCCAGACCCAGCCAATCTCCCTTCATGGGAAGCACTAGAACAACTGCCCTTCCTGGCAGCCTGTATCAACGAATGTGTGTTTGCCCTCTTCCACGAATCCAGTTCATCACCCCAACTGACATAACTTCAGCTCTCCGCCTCTCCTACGGAGCCTCAGGTCGTCTCCCGCGCACCCTCAACGAACCCACCCAGTACAAAGAACACATCATCCCACCAGGAACAGTCATCAGCATGGACATCCCCAGCGTCTCCCACGACGAGGACATTTTCCCAGACTCGCACACCTACAATCCAGCCCGGTGGCTGGATTCCCCCCGCGCGCCGGACGGCCGACTCCTGACGCGGTACCTGGTGTCCTTTTCGCGCGGCCCGCGGTCTTGCGTGGGAATGCAGCTGGCCTATGCGGAGCTGTATATTGGGCTCGCGAGCCTTATTCGCAGATTCGACTTTGAGTTGTATGAGACGGATCGCTCGGATGTGGATTTGGCGAGGGATCGCTTTATTCCGCGTGCTAAGGCCGCGAGTAAGGGGGTTAGGGTCCTCGTTAAATAACCGGAAGACTGCCGCTTGGAGAAGGAGAACCGCTAGCGTGCATTGAGGTGATCCTCCTCAATAGCACTCGGCGTTTGAGATGTGGAGCGATTCCACCGTCTATATCGCTGCGTCATAAACTACGAGTCAAGCGAGCCATGATCTACCAGTTAACGAAGCTTCCAATGACGACGGGGCTCAACCAATGAACTCGAATGTTGATCGAGCACCGTACGACGGCCTTCGATACGCTGGAGGGTCGTATAACCTCGCTGGCCATTATACTCACTTCCAAACCCAGCATGTCCTCTTCGATCCCAGGTCTAATGCGGGGATGAATCCATCTCGCTGTGGGCTACTCCTACGGCAAGAGACGATTGATGATCTGCAGTCTACTAGGAATCATCAATAAATTATGATTTGTGGGGTACCCAGCCACATCCCAGAACTAGCTTCATTCCTCCTGTCGATCGGATTTTCCAGCCCTAGATACCGCCCGTGCTATGGTCATGTCTAAAATAACACGCAAGTGGGATAGAGTGACACTACCTAGAACCTAGCTATATCTATACCGAGCACACGCTTTATATCCTCTCTCTGCCAGTTTAGATTATGCAACCCAGTCCAGGTAGGCAGCGAATGACGCAGCAGAATTGAGCGCTGGCCCGCCTGGGTTGGGGGCGGGTATCTGGTATATACAGTCGAGATCCATTTTGCTTTCTTTCTCCATGCACAGTGGCTCGGTTGTGCCTGCTTGATTTTAGAAGTGTCTTACGGCCAAAACTTGATGGGTTATACTTGATCATATTGGCTTATAGTGCCATGAAAATGTTGAAAACACTCGCCAGCTCATCAAGAGAAACCTTGTCCGTAACTTCGTAAAAGTACGGCCGCCGCTGACTCTCGCCGCCATAAGCCTTCGTCACCGTCCCAACCGGGGAAGCGGCGGTAGATCCATAGCGTCGCGCGGTAAATCCATCCCGCACAGTCCCTTTCGTGACAGCAGGCCAAGGAGCCTGGCCGTGGCAGAACTTGAAGAAGTCCTCAGCAAATGCAGTGCCGACTGCTTTCTGTTCCGGAGAAAGAAACTCGCGGAAGTTTTGAAAGAGATACGCGAGATCCAGAATGTGGTTTGTTTGGCCTTTCCACTGCCCTTCCCACGGGTTTTCTTCATTGAAGTAGTATACGTACGCATTTCCCTTCCATCCCTGCGCAAACGTCAACGCAGGGGTGAAGAACAGGACGTCGTTGATGTAGTTCAGGACAGCAGGGAAAGCGTCATCGTCACTAGTGTTTTCGCCGGCGATTCCGTAAGACTTCATGATTTCATCGACAACCGCTGGTTGAGTCGGAAGGGCGGTGTTCAAGGCTTTGATGAACTTTCTGGCACATCCATCTTTGATATGCGGAAACAGGAAGGCAATAATGCTTGCCTGGGAAGTGATCAGACTAAGCCCAAAGTACGGACTAACAACTTACATCCATCTGAGCATCTCCGACCATAAGGTCCTGACACCAATTCTTGCCCCTCGGCACATCCGAGGTTATGCTGCCAGCTTGTGCGTGCGAGGGAGCAGACGGAACAATGTCGCCATCAATTGCAGGTGATGACAGAATAGATGGCGGTAACCGAGATACAATGTCAGCCCCGGGAGTCCCCAGTAAGGCCTTCACTCTCTCTTTAGGGCTCGCATCCGACAGCCCTAGAACGGAAATTGCGTTCTGGTAGTTTTGCTCATGTGCCTCATAGGCCAAAGGCTCCCTGAGGAAGTACGTTCCACTCATTGCAATCGCCCGCTTAAAGAGTGGTTCCTCGGAATTCAAGTGGTAGGTAACAGATGCTGGACCATGGTTAGTTTTGCAGCTGGAACCGGGTGACTGGCTTACCTCCGCCTGCACTCATTCCTGCCAATGTGATATTGTCCGCGTCCCCGCCAAACTCGTGAATGTGCTTTCGAACCCATTCAATGGCCACCCGCTGGTCTCTTAAACCATTGTTCGCTTTATAGCCAGCATTGCGCAGCTCCTCCGAGGTCAAGAATCCAAAGGCTCCCAGGCGATAGCTACTTGTGTTAGCGCGAGTCTCTATTAGGGTTTGATACCTACTTGATTGAAACTGCAACTATGGGCAGCTTTTTCTCAACGGATAGCTGAACCAATCTCGAGTAATCGAATTGAGGCCATGAATTGGCGCCGATAACGAGGCCTCCGCCGTGTATGAAAAGAAACACCGGGAGGCGCGAGGACGAGGTAGTATCAGCAGGAACGGCGATATTCAGGTTCAAGCAGTCGAGGTCTGACTGGGGTAGCTCCTTCTTAGGCAGAGTGTGCTGGACATGCATCAATTCGAGATCGCATCCGACTGGAAGCGAAACCGCAGTAGGGCTGCGGCTTGTCAGTCGTGGCGGTCGCATCAGAATGCAAGGCAATCTCACCCGTCTCTGGTCGCATCAAGAGCACCCTCGCGACTGTTGATTGGGACTGCGTCTGCCAGCCTGTCTTCCAGCGTGGCATATTTGATTCCCAGGTACTGCGTGACCCCATCGCTGCTCTTCCCATGGATTGTCCCGAGATTTGCCGTCTGAAGAGTCGCCGCCATTGTGAAAGCTAGTGCTCGTCCGGAGATCAATCTGAACGCCTCGGTAAACTTGCTTGCAAGGTGTCAAGAACTTGAAGCGGGGAAAGACGTTGCCTGCTCGATTCCTGACACTGTGGCGGGGAAAACCCGGCTGCCCCACCAGAACACGCCCCGGATGCCCCTGGAACTGGGCTCTTGCCAACGCTCGGGATTCCCCCATGGCCATCGTTCCATTGTATTTGTGGGGGACGATCCGTGGACAGGAACGGCTGCAACGGCGATCGATGTGTGAAGCTTCTGCATTTGCCTGGATCACGAACTATGCCTGCACGCAAGAGTGATCTTCAGAGATGAGAAGGTCAGCGTAGGCAATCAATCAGCGTCATGGGGTCAGCAGCACACTCAGTATCCTAGATTTCTCAATCTGGTGATCAGTTTTGCCATGGTAGCGTACCCAGTGAGTGGAGGATGGAGGGAAGTAGGATGCAGCGTCAGCCGAGCGGGCGCCTGCAGCAAAAGCCTTGTGTGGCTTCCACCTGACTTCTCCCACCCTGTCGCCTCTTGCCCACACCCACTTCCGCACATCCTCGAACCGTGACTTCTCTTCAGGGAAGTCAAGAGCTTGCGACCGACCGAAATGCAGATGCCGCGGATCTGACCGTCGAGCTGGCCCCTGCTGGCCCGATTCAAGGCATAGTTGAAGACCATCCGCCTGCTCTCCTCAAAGCCAATATCGGTCAATTTGCTACTTCAACATATGATTTCCAACAGTCCGCCGCCTGAGATCACGGACCATGAACAGACAGAATCGTTTCAGGTCACGCCTTGGCCCCTCCTGATGCCCTCCCGCCATCGTTGCACAGTAAGAAACTCAGAGAGCATTTACCACATTCTGAACAATGATTTACAACTTTTTTTTTTAAACTGACTAAGTACTAGGAGATCAATACATTCCTCTCATCTCGCCTTTATCCTGACACGAACCCGGCCCAGGAATGCGGAGACGACTCTTACGACTACCGCATTGTTTGCACCAAATACAGCGCGTCGACCCAGTCCCATTACCTGTTCCCTGTTTCCATCACGGCCTAGACGAGCCTAACCAAATCTCCGACGGCAGGTTTTGAGGTTACAGCGGCGGACAACTCGTGGGGGGGCATGGAAGAAAGGTTGGTTGCTGACCAGGGTTTATTTATTTTTAATCTAAGCGGTTCTGCAGGGGCCAGAAACAGCAAATCACCAGCCCATGATCACTGTTGGTCTCCCTCTGCCACCGCGCTAAGGGGATTCAGGACGAACCCCTGGGCTAGAGCAGAACTAAGGATCGCGCTGCAACATCAGCAGGCTTGATTGCTCGGCGTCATTGGATCCTGGCATCAGACCAAGCAGACGAACCCTGATGCGATATTAAATAGGCCTTCCATCCCCTGGTCTTTTGAGTCGCTCTTCCTTTTTTTGATGCCGTGAAACACCGAATACTCGCTTCTTCGGGACCAATCCATCATGAAGCTCAATCGCATTTTGGCTGGGCTAGCTGGGATCTTGAGTTTCTCCTCTGTTTACGGCGCATCGATCTCTGCGCCGAGTAGTTCGAGACATGGCCCAAAGGTTGAGGGACGTCAGAGCACAGCTGTATGCAGTGCCAGCGACGCAACGTATAGTTCACAGAAAATACCAGCAGGACAGTACACCGACTGGGGCGCACTAGGCCTCGACGATGTGACGTCGGGCCAGCAGTTCGTTACCATCGTGAACTTGACCCCGCATAGGTTCAAGCTCGACAGCACCCATTCCTACCAAATGGATAAATTTGACTGGGGCGACATCCCGTCCGGCCGTGCCCGACAGAACAGCGTTTACTACACGACCAGGCTGACAGCAAATCCGGTTGACACCGGCGGCGAAGCATACTACTCAATCGAGGGCACAAGCAAGAAGTTTGAAATCCGAGCAACAACCCATATTCCTGATACATACTGGCGCCGCACGGTCATTGATCTAAGTGCCATGGGGTTAGGACAGCGCGAGTACCTAGATCCCAGAGCTGAGGTACCGGTCACTCTGGTTATCACAGGGAGTGATAGTCATGGATTCATGGCATCTCTCACCCATGGGAGCGGCAACTGGATGAAACAAATGTACGATGTCATCAAGGACAGGCCGCTGCAACATCTTGTCATGCCCGGTACGCACGACTCTGGCATGAGCACCATCAGCGGCGAGATCGTTTCCATTGGCAGTGCGGCCAACACGCAAACCCAGGGTCTCAACCTCTACGACCAACTGCGCGTGGGCGCGCGGTGGTTCGATTTGCGCATCATGAGCGTCCACCAGTCGGACACAACCGACTACGCTTTTTGGGTTGCCCACGTCAACGACGAAAACTCCGATATCCCAATCGGCAACACCGGAGAGAGCCTAACCGACGTAATCAGCGAAATCAACCGTTTCACATCCGAGAACCCGGGAGAGATCATATTCTTGAAACTGCGCTACCTCATCGGCATCAAACGACTGCCAGGCGGAGCGATCAGATGGGATGAAGGTATTGCAAACAACTTCTTCACCGAGCTCAAGAAGATCAACAACCGCTGCGGCAACCTCGACACGGCGACTCCATTCCAGCAGCGACCGGCATCCTATTTCATGGATCAGAACGACGGCTCCGGCTGCGTCCTCTTCCTCCTAGATACCTCTAACATCCCCTCCGGCGTTCCAAGCACTTCCCCTTCAGACGGCATCTACCCAGCCTCAGTCATGGCCGTCACAGACCACTGGTCCGACCTCTCCACAACCCAGCCCGTCGCCGAGGACCAGATCGCGACATGGTCAGCGATCAACCGCGCCTCCCCCTTCACGAACGATAGGTTCCTAATCGCCCAGTGGCTCGTCTCAGCCGACGCGCTGCAAACAACAGCCCTAACAATCCAGAACATCGCCATCATGCCAACCAACCCAGCTCTATACTGGGCTGGCGTAAACGCCATGAGTCCCACCAAATGGCCAAACGTCCTACTGGTCGATTACATCGGCGTCGTGATCACCGACCAATTCGCATGGAACCAGCTCAGCGCCGAACTATACACCCTAGCCATCGGACTGAATCTGTACATGCTCAGCGAGAACTGCGATGTCAGCGCCCAGCGGTCGCCACTGCTCCCGTCTGCGACTGCGTCTACGTCTGCTGCAAAACTCGCGCTACAGAATATCGCGCCGTCTTGGAACGGCATTATCTTTGCGAATGGGACCGTGCTCGATGATCCGCCTGCTGGTCTGCACTTTGGGCGTGTGGAGGTCCTCAAGAATGGGACGGTATTTGGGAATGGGACTGTGCTTGAGAGGGACGTTAGGAATCCGCATTTGTAGATTATTTTCGCTTGCTGTTGGTGTATGGCTTTATTTATAGCTTGTTCCTTCATTATTATAGATATCTTTTCGAACCTGAACCACGCAATAGTGGGTGGGATCATGAAGCGGTGCAGGCCTAGAGACATAGAGATTACCATGGGATACCAAAACAGCACCCAACAACCTAACGAATCTTCGCTGATTCTGCAAAAGTGAGCTGATAAACTTTTATGACTGCGGAGATCCTTGAATACCCGCAGCCATGGTTGATGAAATGCTGTAGTATTAGCCACACAGCATTCAATCTATTCAATAGCATATTCAAGTATCCTTTCTCATACAACGACCCTCTCCCCCCCTCTAACACTTTTTTTTCCAGACAAATCTAGATCCCTTCTAGAACCAATCTACCTCTTCCCATCCTTCGTCCTCTCAACAACCTCCTCCTCAACCGGCGTCTCAACACCCTCCCCACCATCTGCGTCAGACTCCGCCTCGCCAGCTCCCAGCGCTTCCCCCCTCTGATCCCGTCTATACAGAACAAGCGACGTGATGAACCCAGCCCAGAGAAAGAAATAGAATACAAATGTCACAGGCCACCCCTTTCGCCAGCGCGGGGCGCCGTCTGGCCCGGCGGTTGGGAAGAGCAAGAGCGGGACCCAGATGTTGAAGGAGTAGCCGAATGTCATCATTGAGCCCTGGAAACTCGTGTTAGTGATAGTATAAACGTGTATTGGTGGAGATAGATGGGAAGGGAAAGAGAGCGATATGGACAGGGAGGTCAGTGGACGTACCATGATAAGGGCTCGTTCCTCGGAGTCGTCTTTTACGATGGTGTTGACGGTGGAGTAGAGGATTGGGCTTGCGCAGCCGGAGACGCCGAAGAGGAACCAGGCGAGGAATCTAGCGACTTGCGTTAGGTAGATTCCTGTGGTTATGGCTATGGCATGGTTTGTTTGGCTGGCGAGAGAGCATGTGGGAGTTAGGGCTAGAAATGAGAAAACATACTTCAGCCCCGTCGGGATATTCCAGATGCACATGCAGAGAGTCGAGAACAGTGAGGAGGCCGAGATGATGGTATATATGATCCATGACGGATAGATCGAAGCGAGAGTTGTCCCGAGCCACGAGGAGACGATGTTGAGGGCTTGGATGACGGTGGGGTACTGGTTGATTTGGGTGACGGAGTATCCTTCGGCCTTCAACCAGAGGTTCATGTAGCCGCTTGGGTAGGAGGAGAGGATCATGCAGCTGCTCAGGTCAGCCCTTCACACCCTATCCCCGGAATTGGTGTTCAGGAAAATAACATACGCATAGCAAAACAGAAACACATAGATATGCCACCGCTTCAGACTCCTCTTAAAGACATCCAGCCCCAACCGTCCAGGTCGTCGAATATTCGCCCTTCTCATCCGCTCCTTCGCGATCTCTGTATCCCGTTCTGTCAGGAAGAATGGTCGCGGCGAGTCGGGCACACCCGGGAATATGAAGAACCCTATTAGCGCGACGGGGATGGTAAAGATCCCATCGATGATGAAAAGCCACCTCCACCCTGGCATACCTCCGACTCCGGAGAGGTTGGTGTATGCCGCTGCTTGCAGGTACCCGCTGATCATTGTGCCGAGCGGATTGCAGATGAACCAGGTTCCAGCGCGCTTGAAGAGGTCGGGGCCGGAGTACCATGAGCCTAGACTTGTTAGACTGATATAGGAGCCGTGATTCAGGCGTGGTTCACCTAGGATGAAGTGCGTTCCGGCAAAAACCGGAGCCTCGAACATGCCCACCAGGAATCGCATGGCGTAGAGCTGATGCACGTTTGTTGCGCGGCTTTGGGCGAAGGTGCAGATTCCCCAGAGGATTTCAAGGGTGGGCAGGAGCCAGCGAGCTCTATCGCCATGGTCAGAATTGTCCTAAGTACAAGTGAAAGAGAACGTACAGCTTTGGTCTCGACAGTAGAAGCAACCCAGGAACCTGGAATACCACATACGCGGTGTAGTAGCAGACGTTGAAGTAGTTGAGTTCATTGCCGTAAAGCCCAAAGTCCTCCTTGAGCCCGCTAACGTACGCATTGCTGATGTTGGTCTGGTCGAGGTACTTCACGAAGACTGGCTGCGGTCAATTGTTGCCTCAGAAGAAGAGAAGGGTGCGCACAGCAGAGGCAGGAGTAGACCAGAATCGAGAGATCAAGCTTGAACAGCAGCTTCCGCTCCTCAGCCGGATACGACGAGGGATACCAGTTGAAGATCTCCTTGAAGAGTCCGAGGGGCGACGGCCTTGCTTTCTTCGGCTCCGACATGTCGGCAATGGTCAACCGCCCTCTGTCCTTCCACCGCATCCATTCTTATACCACACAACCAGATTGCTTCAAATTGGCTTCTTTGACGCAATTCATTTCTCCCCTCTATTTCTTCAGCCAGAGGCAACTGACACAACACATTGTGTAATGCACAGAGATCTACCCCAATGGCGTGCTGGGATGGCGAATCCAACCCCGGCCCTGAGGAATCTGCGACTGCCTTATCGCGCCAACCAAGGACAAGACCCGGCTCAAGACATGCTTGACTTGCTGCTAGCGAGTCAGACGGACGCCAACAGGCGCGGCTGCGTTCCTCACATCGAGTAAGGTGGAATCTGGGGCAATAACGTGCGTGGATGGCGTGCTCGGTTGAGAATCAATCAGATATGCCGCATTGAATATACGATGCGGGGTACAATGGCACGATGCAGGACATATATAGCTTGCTGAGGTCTTGGTTGAGCAGGATCCTTCCTGTCCAGAGCATAGCATTTGGACGCTGCGAACATGTCGACTACATTTGAAATCCCCCGCTACGAGCAGGTGCCCGAGACCAAGGAGGACCGTGAGTTCTCAAAGCCTTGTTAGTGCCTCGGGTACTAATGAAACAGTTGACTGGGCTGAGCTGGTCACAATTGACCTGAGCCGCTTCGACCAGCCTGGCGGGAAAGAAGAGCTGGTCCAGAAGCTCGACCACGCCGTCAAGAACGTCGGTATGTAACATCCGATTCTGGGCCGCAGAGGATATACCAATGACTTGGCAGGCTTCTTCTACGTCAAGAACTTCAACATCTCCCAGGAAGAAGTGGACCGCCAGTTCGCTCTCGGCCGGGAATTCTACGCCCTCCCACTACAGGAGAAACTCAAGTACCATTCCGCCGCTGACCTCGAGCGAGGCGAGTACAACGGATATCGTCCAGCCGGGCATCGCATGTAAGACGTTATCCCTATCCCAAGTCGACAAAAGACAACAACTAACAAGACCCGCGGACAGGCTCGGCAACGGCATAAAGGACAACATCCAAGTCTACAACATCCCCAAATTCGACGGGCACCACTCGCGCCCCCAACCCGCCATCCTAGCAGCCCACATCAACGAGATCGAAGCCTTCAGCCGCAAATGCCACACCGAAGTCGTGGAGAAACTCCTCCGCCTCTTCGCACTCCTCCTCGAACTCCCCGACGAAAATCAGCTCGTGCATGACCACAAGTACGACGACGAGGGCGATGACCACCTCCGCTACATGCACTACGCTGCCCGCGACGCCAGCGAGAATAAACGCGCCGCCGAGATCTACACGCCGGGCCACACGGATCTGGGCTCCGTCACGCTGCTCTTTCGCCAGCCTGTCGCGGCACTGCAGATCCTTAACAGCGAGGGACAGTGGAAGTGGGTGAAGCCGCAGGACGGGACGATCACGATTAACACGTGTGACGCGTTGACGGCGTTGACGGGGGGTCTGATCAAGTCGAGTATCCATCGGGTGCGGACGCCGCCGGCTGACCAGGCGGGTATTGACCGGTTGGGCGTGCTGTATTTCGCGCGGCCCAATAACCATGTCGTGCTTGATCCGATTGCCAACAGCCCTGTGCTGCAGAGGCTGGGACTGACGTCGAATGTGTTTACGGAGATGGGGAAGCACTTGACGATGAAGGAGTGGGTTCAGGTGAGGCAGACGCAGCAGCAGAGGAAGAAGCAGGAGGCCAGGATCTCGGATGATGGGAAGTATACGTATAAGCCGAAGGATATGGAGATTATCCCGGGGTTGTTGGCTAAGGTGTATAACTAGGTCAGAGTTGAAAGTGGCAGGCCTAAACAGCTAGGTGTATATCATTCACCAAGCCAACTGGAACGTTCTTAGCCTGAATATATTCCAAAAATGCGATGTTATGAAGAGAAATTGACACTATACCCCCCCGTCTTCGGATCCTGCACAAAGTTGAAGTTATCCGTCGACAGCCCAAATGGCTTGAGAATCCCATTCCCCAGCTGCAAAAAGATGTTAGCCAGCCCAGTTTACGCTCAACAACAGAATGGCCACTCACATCCTTCAACTTCCCCATCATCTCCCCCATCTCAACCTCCTTCGCCTTCGCAATCCTCCCCGGCAACTCCCTCAGCGCCTTAGCCACGATCTTCCGATCGCCCACCGGCAAATTCCCCATCGCATCAAGGACCTTATAGTCCTCCTCAGCCCCCTGCAAATTCGCCCAGCCCCCAAGCTCACTCTTCGCCCTAGCGCGCCGCATAAGCGCCTTCGCGCGGATCCTCGCAACATCTGCTTTCCGCTTGTCCTGCTCCTTGACTTTCGCGAGCGCTTCGGCTTCATCGGTCTCGTCGTCGTCGATTTCAACGACCCCGGAGCCGGAGCCGGGCTCGCCCTGGTCCGCTCCCCCGTCTTTCGTTTCGGCCGTCGATGCCGGGATCACACGATCCAACCCCTCAATACACCGACTCGCGCTATCAACCGCCGCCTTCCAGTCCTCGAGCTGCAGGTAGCATGCGGCCATGTTGCTTCGGACAACGGCGATCTCGTAGTCTAGGTATGTGGGACAGGAGGCGAGGGCGCGGTCGTAGGTGGATATTGCTTGGGTGTAGGAGGATGCGGTGTACAGGGCGTTGGCTTCGGATTTTAGGGCGTGGGATTCGGCGAGGAGGGCCTGGGGAACGTTTAGTTTAGTTTAGTTGGGGTTGGTTGGGTTTGGTTGGAGGGGGAGAGGCGCACTGCTTCTTCTTCTGGGGGGAAGCGCGCGTCGTGGAAGACTTCTTCGTCTTCGTCTTCTGTGTCGCTTGGGGCATTTTGGGATTTCTTGGGAGGGTCTGTTGCTGTTATCGGGGCCATTTTGGTGTTCCTGTTTTGCGGAGGTGAGTGGTGGAAGTAAAGTTGCGGGGAGGAGAGTTGACACCATGATGCTCTCTGGTGCCTTATATCTCAGGCATTCAAGACGTACTTTGCCTGCGATAAGATAAGATAAGATATCTCAGAAATCGGCGCTTCGGCGCCAACTGAGGGGAACCACTCGGCTTTGTTGGAGTCGTTCCATTTTCCTCAATTGTTCTTCCTACAACCTATCCTAGACATAGAGCCTACAAGCATCCCCTCAAAATGAACAGCGTAAACCCAAAGTACGTACCTTCCCTCAATTCAAGAATGAGAGCTCTCTAACAACGCCTAGCCTCCCCCCAGTCCGAGCCTGCCTCTTCGACATGGACGGCCTCCTCATCGACTCAGAGGACCTCTACACAGCAATCACAAACAAAGTGCTGCACTCGTTCGGCAAGCCCGATCTGCCCTGGTCCATTAAGGCGCAATTGCAAGGCCGGCCGCAGCCTGAGGTCTCTTCCCCATTCCCCCCTCCCCACAAAAACGTTATTTAACAACCGCCCAGGCAGCACGGATCTTCTCCGACTGGGCCCAGCTCCCCATCCCACACGAGGAGTACATGGCGCGGATCTCAAAGATGCAGGCGGAGCTGTTCCCGACTACGAAGCCGCTCCCGGGTGTAGAGTCTCTGCTGAACACGCTCGCCGCTACGCAGGGGACTTCGAGCCCCGTGCACATTGCGCTGGCGACATCGAGCCACGCGCGGAACTACCATCTGAAAACGGGGCATCTGGCGGATCTTTTCTCGGTGTTTCCTGAGAAGCAGCGGGTGCTGGGTGATGATCCGCGGATTGGGAAGGGAAGGGGCAAGCCGCTTCCTGATATCTACTTGCTTGCGCTTGAGACGATAAATACGGCTCTGAGGGAGAAGGGTCAGAAGGAGATTACGCCGGAGGAGTGTCTTGTTTTTGAGGATGCGGTGCCCGGTGTTGAGGCTGGACGGCGCGCGGGGATGAGGGTTGTTTGGGTGCCGCATCCGGGGCTGTTGGAGGCATATAAGGGGCGCGAGGAGGAGGTGCTTGCTGGGTTGACGGGAGAGCATAAGGATGAGGAGAAGAGTGTGGCTGAGAGGGAGGCGGATGCGATGGCGGAGGAGAGATTGCATGCGAAGAGTGCGGGGAAGCCGGGGAAGATCGGGGATGGGTTTGCGGAGATCCTGGGGAGCTTGGAGGGGTTCCCGTATGAGAAGTATGGGATGAAGGTTGTCAATAATGGCGATGCTTGAAGGCGTCCAGTCCAGTCTCCCGAATTGTTACGGAGTATAGATTGATGGAAATAAATTAAGACATAAATTACTCATAGCCAATATGATATATCCAGTCATCAACATGTACCTCGTCTATTCTATATACGATCCCTTTTCATCATCATGATTCATTTTGCCTTCTTCCCCTCTTTCCCCTCAACGCCCTCCGCAAGCACAAACGCCCGTCTAACCTCCTTCCCAGCCTCAAAAAGCACCCAAAGCGGAATCCAAACCCAGAGCGTATTGAAGAAAAACAGATAAAACCACGTATAAACGGCGTTACTCGTATCGAGCTGGGTGCTCCCCGTCAACCACTCCGGCGCAAAAGTCATAAAGCCACCGTAAAGCTCTGCCGTTGCCAGCGCCGTAGCCACAAGCCAGAGCTTCGCTTTGGCCGCACCCTTGGCTTCGGCCTCGGCTTTCGCGGTGGAGGCGGAGGTAGATGACGACAACGACGACCTGGACGAGTTCGATTTGGACGGCGTGGCTTTTGACGATGTTTTCGAAGACGAGGCCGAGGCCGAGTTCGAAGGAAGACTCGACTGCCACAGCAGATAACATACATACACCGCCGCCGGCCCACCCAGGAACACGGTCAACAGTTCCAAGCTAATAACCGTCGCATCCGCGCTCGCCCAGCGGTGGTCAGCCTTCGCGTATTCCTGCCACAGCCTCGAGGACGGCGCGGTCCCGTACGCGGCTCCGTAGACGCGGTCTTTTATCCCTAGGAAGGCGGGTTCCGGCGCGTTCAGACCCGCGGGGAGAACCGCGTAGCTGGTGAAGCATTCGTAGAGGAAGGAGCCCTCGATGAAGAGGTGGGTGAGGGCGTCGTAGGCGTGCCAGTAGAAGAGGAGGCGGTTGCGGGTTTGTGAGGACGGGATGAGGGTTTGGCCGGCAAAGTAGGCGATTGGCATGAAGGAGAGGGCGAAGAGGATGCAGAGGATTGTGGGGGTGTCGAGGGTGAATGTTGAGGGCGGGGATTGGGTGGACATTTTGAGGGCCTCGAAGGATGCGCGGGTTGGTTGTTTGCGCTGGTACGAGGTGTAGAGAGTCGGTTGTGCGACGGCTCTTGGTGTCGTCGGGTTCAAGGGCTTGTGGAAAGTTGATGTCGCGCTGGACCCCTGGAATTGTTTGTTTACAGTTTGTGCCTGAACCGTGAGGCAGCAATGGGGCATGTTCAGGAACTTCAGGATCGACGTGGTGGGGCGTTTCTCCAGCTCGCCGCTCCATCGAGATCACCGAACGATTCCATGGCCACTGATTTCTCCACCTTGTTGTTGTCTTTAGACTATCAAAGCTCGAGCGCTGGGGAAGGATCTGTACAGATTAACGTCTTTTACCTGCATATACCACATCATTCACATGCAGATAGGGAAATGCCATGAGTTGAGGGTGTAGGGGGGACTCTTCCGCTGCTTCCTTGCAGTCTAATCTGGGCGTATATCCATGGATAGGATCTTGTAAACCGAAGGAAGGGGATGCATACTTGCTGCCAATGAAATCAGAAAGACGCACTTCGCGCTTCGTTCAGTTGGCTATAGAAGACATTCCCCTCTCTGTACGGAGTATGTCCCAACAAATTATACGTCACCAGGCATATTGATGCATACCCTAACCAGTAGCAACTCTTAACTTCCAAGGATTACCCCTCAAATATCTATCTAGGCAGCTGTATGTACCCCTCCTGCTTTGTAATGCCCCTTCAAAACAGATCCTATCAACCTGGATATAAAAGCGCCGTCGTTGCAGCCTTAGATCGCTTCTCTCCCCCATTCCCGACACTTCGTATTGATCAGAACACAGCCATGGTCAAGAGAGTTCTAGTAGGATACGGCATTGACGTCGACGCCGTGAGTGGCTGGTACGAACTCTTCTATCTAGAACCCCGTGGCGGACTTCGGGACTAACATGAATGCTCCAGGATCAATACAAGGGACGGCTCCCCCGCAAACCCAACAGACGTATCCCGCGGCATCTTCGGAGCCACCGTGGGCATCGACCGGCTGCTGAAGCTCTACGACAAATACAACATCAAAGCGACCTGGTTCGTGCCGGGCCATTCCCTTGAGAGTTTCCCGAACCAGCTGGCGAAGGTTCGAGACGCCGGGCATGAACTGTACGTCGATGGCCCTTCTCTTGAATCGTCTACCTACCTACAGTCCCTAGCGAAATGACAGCACCACTAACATCACCCAGAGCCCTGCACGGCTACACCCACGAATTCGTCTCAACCCTAACCCCCCAACAAGAGCGCGACGTCCTCACCCGCTCAATCTCAGCAATGACAGCGTTCACCGGCAAGAAGCCAAAAGGCTGGACGGCCCCCGCCTGGTCCACATCCCCCTCCACCGTCTCCCTCCTCCAAGAACACGGCCTGGAATATGACCACTCCTTCATGCATCACGACAGCCACCTCTACTACCTCCCCGAGGAGACAGACTACATACCCACCGACACCTCGCAAGACGCCTCAACCTGGATGAAACCAATGAGCGCATTGAAATCCTCAGGAATCGTCTGCGTGCCCGCAAACTGGCACGTGGACGACTGGCCGCCGTTCCAGTTCAGCCTGAAGCAGCCGAATTCGCACGGCTATGTGGATGTTGCCTCGGTTGAGCGGACGTGGCGCGATATCTTTTCGTTCCTGTATAGAGAGCACGAGGAGTTTGTGTTTCCTATTAGTATTCATCCGCAGGTTAGTGGGAAGCCGCAGGTGATGCTGATGCATGAGCGGTTTATTGAGTGGGTTAATGGCCATGAGGGGGTTGAGTGGTGTACCTTCGAAACGATGGTGAGGGAGTTTAAGGAGGGGAGGATCCAGGGCGCGGTGGTTGAGGGGGGTGTTTAGTTGAGGTTCAGGGTGCTGACGGGCGTATGTATACTGGAGACTAAATACTATGGTATTTCGTGAAGATATTTACCTTGAAAGACGCCATTCTTCTATGGTAGGCCTGGGCAAGTCAAGACCGTCGGTGTTCTCACCCGGTTAGCAGGTGGCCAGGGCAGCTGAAGTTTGTTCTCTTGAACCCTGTGCAGTGTGCATACAAGAAGCAGCATGGCCGCTTCACTTCTCTTCGAACCCCTTTGCCATGGAGTCTGCTGCTTGTGTGGATAACCTGTCATTTCGCGGCATTAGGGGGTGGGAGCAGGACGAGCCGGGTCTGCACTTCAGATCGTTGCTCGTTGCCCAAATTTGACGGTAATGGATCTGGAGCTGGATGAATGGGTGCGGCCACATCATCTAGGGTATATCTAAGCCCGACGTGCTGGTATGGATTTGTTGGTCAGTGGAAGCCCTTAACTAAATGCTATCGGTTCATAGCAGTTGCGGAGGGAATCAGAAACATCCCTAATACCTTCAGAGTTTTCAATTAGGCGTGCACATCCGAAGCCCCATGGAGAGCTACCTTGCCGGTGCTGAATTTCTTGGGTTCAGAGGGTCTGGACACCCTGTCTGCAAGCCTGCAAGCCTGCAAGCCATATTGGGTCGAGCGGGTCTGGACACTCTTTCTGCATGCCTAAAAACCATGAGCACCTCTCTTCGCGAGCTTAAGCTCTCGCATATCTCTATATTTCTCGACATCCTCTTCCCACTGGATGGAGCCGGCGAGCCATCACCTACCGCGGAAACGATGAAATGGCCGAACCTAGAACGCTAGAGCTCAGTAAAATGCCCCTGCGGCTACCCTCTGGTATGACCACATTCCATACCATATCTTCCCGTGTATAAAGCTAACGGTTCTAACAGGACAATGGATCTTGCGCCCTTTAAGCAGCACCAATCCGCAATCGCTGAGATCACCGACTGGGAAGACAAAATATGCCAAAGAGAGCGCGGTGCCATGCCACGGCCAGTAATAGAGGAGGAGAGATTCCACCGGCTATTCATTTCGCTAGGCTATGCGTCCCGGTGGATGCCAGGTTTGGCAAGCGACAGCTTTGATCTCGCTCAACCAGTCCACGTTTCTTTCATCTGCCAAGTAGGCGGCGGAGGCAGCAATGTTACTCTGGAATGGGACTCTGGTGGCTCGGTTCCAAAGTATAGACCTGACGAACAGGTTGCGAAAGCCTGGGGTTTTCGTTGGATGAAGGTCGACCATGAATAGCCATTCTCTGAGCTCCAGCGTCTGCTGATTATGCAGTGCATCGCTGAGTAATCCGAATTCTCGCAACCTCATCGATGTATCCTTTCAATATATTAGGCGGATGAGAGGATCCAGTTGAGATGAATAGAACGGACTCGGTCTTGCTTGTTGATAGAACCCGGGGCGGGGAAATTGTAACAGCAAAGAACTCCAGGAACCCCGGTTGAACACAACCCGGCCATATAAATAGCGAACAGCTGAGTATAAAAATCGCGCCTTGTGGTGGACTTACATGGGCATAGCTTAATCCCATGACCCGTCCCACAAACAGTCACCGAAGTCCCATGATTCATCCAAGCGACAAAAATAGGCAGATGAGCTGTCCTGTGGCGTTGTGGGATCGGCCCGATGCAACCAGCAATACAGGAGCGATCAATATCTGGATGATGGCAAGATTGAACTAAAGGTTTGACCTGCTCGCATCAATTATCCGGGCGCATGGGATGGGATTCGATGGTTTCGTGGCGTTTGGGTGGATGGCAACGAAAACCACGGCTGTCATGGCAGATACCAGGGAATATGGTTCATTATGCACAATGTAGTAAATGTAGTAGAGGTTGTTTGATTGACGACTGGGCAGTTGACCATTGACCAGAGTGTGGTTAAGCTTTGCGGGGTGCTGCTGAGGAACTTCGGATCCGCAATCCATGCTACATCATTAGTGCACAAGATTGCAGTGCCAACGGCCCGCTGACAGGGTATCCGTCCGCAGCAAGGGGCTGAGCTCTGGGGTCCATGGAGGGTGAGATCCGATTAGGTGGAAATCACTGCAGAGAGATGAGGTAGCGCGAACCAGTTGCGTGGATAGTCAGCAGTCAATTATAGTCTATGCCTACCGAGATCATGACTCAAATCGGGCAGTCTGACTCTTTTACCTAACAGGAAACTCAGGATACCCGCCTTGCTACTGTCAAGCAGGGCCATGAGTTCTTATCGTGTCTTACCCGGTGCCCGGGGCTGTCATCTGGGCGAGAGATGCTGCTCGTTTTTGGTGAGCGCGTGCGCCCTTCACGTGTAGTCGTCTGACCTACGCTGAGAGGCTGAGTGCTTTATAATCGGCCTCGTACCTTTCTTTCAGCTGCCTTGCGGAGGAAATACGAAGTTTTGCCCGCTGGAGTTGCCCTGGAAGCTGCGAAAAAGGTGATTCATAACGGGGCTGTTCCTTATCACGGGGGGTTTTGCAGGTGCCTGGTGCGTCTTTGGCTTTGCAACCCGGGCGACGTGCACATCTTTCATATACCCCAGTCTGCCCTCACTCGATTAATTTCGGAACATTGTTCACGATGCCACGTTTCCACCACAAAAGACGCCACTCCTGGCCCTACTGCGGTTCGAGTACGCAGCTGAAAGAACGTAACCTGCCTGCTATCACCGTGACGGGGCCTGACAATGAATTCGAAGGCCAGTTCCTGACTCCGATCGAGGCCGATGAGCTGTTTGAGGATGACGCCGCGTCTGCTGGGATCGTTCGCACTCAGTCGTCACGGTCACACCGACTTTGGCACCATTCGAAAGACAAAACGGAGGCCTATAAAACCAACGCTGGCACTGTCTCGCTGCGTAAGATGATGCAGCCACCGCTCGACAGAGCACGATCGCTCTTCGTTTTGCCATCAACGATGTCCGCGAAAGAGATGGCGCTCCTGCCTTACTGGGTCCATCGACTCTCGGCGCATCCCATAGCCGCCAAAGAGAGAAAAATGCCACAAGCTGAGACGCGAGGCCGCCTGATGGTTGAGAAGAACCATAGGCGCTGCCACTCAGAGCGACCGCGCTCCTGGAAGCAGCCGAGTGAGGATTTGTGGACTCTGCTGGAGGAATGATTTTCGCTCTTATGTTGCTGCCTGCATTTTGTGGAGTTTTGGTCATTCGTATTTGCATTGCTGCTTATCGAGGTTCCATAGAGCATAATCATGGCGTGTGGGCTGAAAACAGCATATTGTGGTTACTGTGATTGTTCATTTGTTCTGGTCGCATCATCGATAGGTATTGCATCCTCGAGCTAAACAAGATTGTCAGTATGTTTCAATGGGATTTGTTCTGGCGCCATGTCAACAGCGATCCTGTCACCCTCGACGGTCGCATCCATCAGGAACGTAGATGCCTTGACCTAACGTACGGAGTACTTCTGCTTGCCATCCCGGCTAACACGGAACAGGACTTTGCCCACTCTCCACCTTCTAAGAGCCTCTGGAGGCTCTTCGCTCCTTGGCCGCGGAGTTGTGCTTGTTACGAACAGTCTGTGCCGACTGCCGAGACATTGTGGACGGATCCCGTGACACGCCAAGTCGAATTGGGAATAGCGCCAAGAGATACGGTATCGTTATCGTTCATGTGATTTGACTCATTGACTGATGCCTGGTGACTCAGTTGTCTTGCTTGTTAGTGGCAGAAAGACAGATAGAAGTTGTCGGTGCAATATCAGTATTCTCACCGAGTCTTCAGGTGCATCCTGCATGATGGCCATGGTCCAGATGCCCAAAGCTCACCGACCAGAAGCCTCAGCAAGCGGCTGAAACGATTGCCAGGCCACCAGGCAGAAGCGGTCAAAATCGTCAAGCCGGTGTCACCGCGGGGGCCAAAACTCCAGAATACGCTTCTAGCGCGAGTCCAGCAGCATGGGGCACTTCTCTGCAGATGCCATTATTGGCTGCTGCTCGCCCAGCGGACACAGGAGCTCGCACTAAACCCTACTGATGGACCCCGCGGTCTCGTTGGCACTGTCCGATTCGTTCAATGCTGACCGTCTCGCCTTCCTCTCTCGTGTGCGATGCGCACTCTGATAGGGTGATGGGCCAATGATAGTGTTAGCGCCTGCCCTACGAGGTTGCTCTCCCCGCTACTTGTGGCCCTGGCGAACCGATTGCCCGGGGTCGTTTCTCGGCTTCGACGTCAATCGCAAAGGACCAGGCAGCATAAATAAAGGCTTGATTCCCTTTGTCCACGCTCTTTTTTGGTCTTATATCTGTCTACCATCGCAGTCTTCTACAGACTATCCTACGCTATCCTTACTTCAATCAAGCAATGAGTGATACCTCCACTCTCCAACAAGTCACTACCAACCAATCCATCACCGAACGACCTCTCTCTCAGTCTACCACTGCCTCCTCAACCACATCTGCTCTCAAGCAGTCCGAAAGCAAGACCAACAAACTCGCCTACCTAAGCACGCGCACCTCCAACTCTCCCAACATGACTCGCCCAACTACCCCCCGCTCCTACCCCGTGAGCATCGACACATCTGTCCCCCGTGACTCGTTCTCATCCACAGAGGACAGCCCGCGTCGTACAAGGGGCCCTATGCAGACCACACCAACCCGTACAAGCTCCAACAAATCGCGAGCCAGCTCCGATAGCCGTCGTCGCTACGACAACACTGTCTACCACTATGGCCGCCACTCAAACTACTGGCTCTTTGGCGGGTTCAGCGTCCGAGACACTGTCCGTGATGGCGTCGACTGGATCCGTCAGCAGAAGAAGGGTTGAAACATTGTTTGGACGTCTGCACCAATTTCAATCTACACAACAATCGAATCTAAGCGGCACACTTCAGTCAACCGATAACCTGCGTTGCAGCACGCGTTCAGGCATGCAAAGAATGAGAGAACCCCAGCCTCGTCTCCGATAACACGCCCTGCTAAGCGGCTTGCCGGACTTCGCCGTCAGAATGTTCAGGTCGGGTCAAGGGGCGAAGCGAAAGTCGATAGGTGACGTGCCGGTCACTGTGTCCAAAGTCAGCTTCAACGGATTTTCTTTATCCAGGACTCCGTTTCGAGAGAGGTTCAGCACCCATCGCTTTATTTGGACTGTGTTATCCTTTTTCCATACCTATCTATACAGATACCACAAATGAGAAATTCTTTCTCCTATCATTTTGTCCTTCTGTTCTCCCCTTAAAATCAACTCGACTAGTAAAGCACCAATAGAAGCTGGACTTCTGATGTAGACTATGCATATCATCACCATTCGTATGCCTAACAGTGTTTTGACTGGGTAATCATATGCGATCACTGCGGGAGAGTTGCTTCCACCTAGTCTATCCTGTCTATGGCAGTAGATGGCGCTGGCACATGAACATGTATCTATGCCAGCTTCTCCATTTCCATCTCCATCTTCGTCAGTATCGCCTTCTCCAACTCGATTCTCCACATTTCCATTCGAGCATGCAGAATGGGCAGCCGCTCATTGACAGATTATGCGTGAGGTTGGTACTGCTGTTTGTGTTTAGATCGAATATACTAGTCTGCTCCATAACACAGATGATGACAGGCCAAAGCCCTAAGTAGATTTGGAAGGAGGGGGTGAGTGGTAAGTGGGAAAGTGGGGATGAGGAGAAGTTCCATGGCCATATTTGTATCTAAAGCTGAAGGTACTTGGTGTTTCCTAGAAGCTTTGCCCTCGCTAGACCTACTCGGTCCTTGTGTTCATGCATCATTTAGACTTGGGGACAAAAAATAGGTTCAACACCACGAGCTATCCAAATTGTGTATTGGTACTAGCCAGCATTGAAGCGGGTTCCAGTATCGTTTGCGAAAGAATTGAAATATCAGAGGGTAGCATCATTAGAGGACAATAGACATTACTTTAAGCATCAACCTCCGGGGGGGTCCCAGCTCTGGCCAGGATGGCGGCATCAACACTAAATGATCGTTGAGTGATGTCAAGCTGGTGACCCAGCAAGAAACCTTATGCCTGCTGCCACGCCGCAATATCCGCCTGCGATATGCCGATGTTTTCAGGGACCAGGGCCTGTAACTTTGCGATCTGAGACGAAGCTAACATGCAAAAACCAGTATCAGTGAATGGGTCCAGAAACGGCATCAGATGTGGCCTGACAGGTGCACATATTCGTAGGTGCGGTTACTTACTCGGAGGTTGTGACGCGGCGGCGCCCGCATGTACGTGGATGACTTTAGAGTCCACAGACCCCTTCACCAACACCTCCCTCGCGTTGCTGAGGCACAGCATCACCCGCAATCTGTACTTCCCTGGGCTATTGATAGTAAGACGCCTGAAGGCAGCGTACCCGCTTGTGGAGTTCCCCGTCCGGTTGCATACGCTGGTGGCAGCGGTTCCAGTGGCAGCAAGGGCAGCTGCCGAATCACCTCCGGTTTCGTCGCGAAGCAGTACTATCGCCCCTAGTTGTTGTTCTGGGTCGTTGCCGGCATTGCCGACGGGGGGCACCGCAACGACGATGGGAAACGAAAAGGCGACGCCTGGGCGGATTGACGTGGGAGGCTCAATCGCGAACGTAGGGCTATATTCTAATCCTAGAGCCATGGTAAAGAATTGAGTAGTATATGAGATGATCGGGAGCGGTTAATCTGTACTCGCAGGGAGGCAAAAGAGTGAGGGTCAAGGAAGAAGGCTTGATGATCCCTATGCTGGACGCAGGAGCAGGTCAGGGCTTTATAATCGAGAAGATAATCTCTGTCTTATAGACGGCGCAAGCTGATCTGAGAGAGAGGGTCCGGGGCATTCAAATCAGCGCGTTGATCAGGGTTCTTGCTGGATTAACTTTGCGAAATTCTTCAGCATCTTCATCTCGAACCTTTGCTGAATCTAAGAATTGGTACTTTTTTTGATAGCCGCCATCACAAACAGCAGACCATAGGATGCTTGATCTGCGCAGTTGATTCTCCGAGTATGCACGGTTGACATGACATGGTTGACATGGACTGTTGATATGCACGGTTGAGGTGCACAGTTGATATGCGCGGTTGACCTGCAAGAAATGGCACAGCAGGAGCATAGCAGATTGGCTGCTCAGGGGCGCACGGAGCATGGATACGGGGTGATAAAGGTGCAGGATCGATTTGTGGCGGAGTGTGGGCAACAATGCGCATGGCAAGAGGCAGTGGGACTCCGAAGGGCGATCAGATCAGGTCAGGGACTTTTGCCACGCAGACACATGCTGAAGCTTACCTACTAGCTTAGACTCGCTCGGCCGAAAGGTGCAAGCTGGCACTGGCCAGAGGGAGCACTCCGGTATGATTATTCCGTCAGCTGCTGGGGATTGTCCTATCGGGTAGTACGGACCATTCGGCCGGTCATCAATGATGTGCGAACATGCTTTTTCCATTTCTCTAGTCTCCCTATTCAAGGCTTTTTGGCTTACCTCTTCCACTGTTTATCCGGGCTTCTCGATCTAGCGGGCTCCTTTCGCGCTGGCGGTCCAAGAATGATTGTGCGTGCCGCTTATCTTGTATACGTGGATCGCACGCCGCATTCGTCCAAGCCAAGCCATGTGCAAGTCAGATCGTGAGATCTAAGGCGGGCACTTTAGTTTCTTTACGCATCCGTCAGGAGATCAGTAGCGAATAGCAGGAAGCCGGAGTGCTTGCCCCGAGGCTCTCGGGGACCATGACAGCAGGACCACGTTCTTGACAAGTGCCAACCGTGGACTTGGCTTAGGCCTGTCCACAGTCGAAGTATGGATGGACTTCGATTTTGTCTTAACTGGAAGCTCACTATTGTCCTTGCCCGAAATGACGACTGAAATTAGTAGCGATTCCGGATTCAGCATCACTCGTAAATGCTGAAGGCCGTCCTCTCGTTGTTGGAGCGGTTGGCATCAATTAGTCTGATGGTTTCGGGGTCCTTGCGTGAAAGGTTTGTTTTTCTGCTATGTGCCAAGTTCCAGAAGTGCTGAGGGATCTGTTGGGAGTAGCCTAAGGAGAGCTGATATCGAAGGAAATCTCAACGACCCGAGATCCCGACGCCCAGAGAAGTATGAGGCTTGGAAAGGAAGCAACAAGCAATGGAGTGTTCGAGCCAGACCGGGATAAAAGCCAAAACGCGACGAGTTGTGACAGGGCTGCTTATTCCTGCAGCAAGCCTGCGATCTGGATTCTGCAGTGGAAAAGCCACATCCCTATAGCCGGCGGCCGCACCGGCATGGCACACGGGTTCGACAACTCATAGGTCAGTAAATTGCTTCTTCTGAGAGACTATCACTTCTGTGGCTTGGCTTGAGCCTTAGGAGCGGATCTTATGTACAGCCACGAAAGATCCACATCCTGGGATGCAAGAGCCAAGAAGAAAATTGTGTTGAGCTTTGAGCTTCCAGATGTCCTTCGCAAGCCATGCCAATAAAGGCAATAACGCATGACTTCTCAAGCCAGCCTGTGTCTTACATATCAGCTCAGATTAAAGTTTGCTCTTTCTCGGCTATATGCATGTATACCTCTTCGGCAAGGCGCCCCAACCGTTGTGTTCTAACCATCATCTAAAGAGCCGTCAGGCCCTGCAATGCAATGCACGAGAGATCAATGGTGTCCACTACCTGGTGCTCACTGTTCAAGTAAAGAGTAATCGATGGCCGATCAAGCCATGTTCCGTATATCCCCCATGTTTCCGACAAGACGCAAGCAACGACGGCAATGTACGGATACCTAATATGCGTACTTTGAACCCTGAACTCGCCACCTTGTGGAGCCAGGATTTTTTCAAAACTCGGGGGGCATACGAAACGGCGCTTCGCAAGGAGAACTCCTCAAGCCTCTGCACCAGTGCTCATGGTATATCACCCCAAGTGGGCCTACTCCGTCACACAGAGTAGTCTCGGAAATCGGCGTTAGAAACTCTGAATTTCGTCCGCCTATCGGATTCGGGATTGACCGAGCACTATGTAGCACCTAACTCTCTTTCTCGATCTTGATGTAGAACCTCAGATGAACCAACGATAGCGCAGTGGTCAATCCCTTCTGAGGAATCGGCCGGAAGCGCTTTGCATATGACACTGAGAGACTGCATGTACAAGGTACAATAGAGCCTAATGTCTTCAGCTTCGCTAGGGTGAGAGCGTACTTTCTCCCATGCAATTCTGCGATGCCTCAGCGCTCAAAATTGCGAACCATGGTCATCATGGCGGGGTAGCCTTTCCAAGCGCTTCGTGATCGACAAGGCTGCGATATGCTCTGGGGAAATGACCACAAATAGGAGTGCGCACGACAATCGACGGCCAAGGCAAGTTGCAAATCAGGGTTCCAGGTCAACCTACTGTCCGCGGGGTGGATTCCAGCACGGAGACAGTACCCGGTAATAATTTCTGGTATTGCCTAAAGTGGCTTGCCCGTGAGCCTTGGATCTGGTGAATGAAGCAAATGTCCTTGAAGATTCTAGAGGCCGAGTTCGAGAACAACTCGAGTGGCATCGCCGCATCGAGAAATTAGCACCGAGCAGATAGCTATGGAAGGTTTGCGCTAGTATTTACCGACAGTGTGCACAGACAACGCAGATCAGCACTCGTCTTTCGAACTGCATGCCTCGTTGGGTTCGAACATGTTCGCGGGGAGAAGAGAAAAAGTGAGGCGGGGAGTGAGGCAAGCGAGTCCAGATCCCGACCCGTCAGCTCTGGCACTGAACTGGACTTTGGTAACAAGTGCTCAGGTAGTGAGAAGTTAGTATTGGAAAGCCTGGAAAATCTCAGTGCGATAAGATCAGCCAGCAAGAGACGGTAGTCGGACATAAGGACGGGAGGGCGATGCTCCGAATGAGGGAGGAGGGCCCTCCTGCCTCCGGCGCCCTCGACGTCTTTCTTCCATCACGATCCCACTTACGCTTCAACACAATGGAGGCCACCGACTAGCAACTCTGCGGCCAGCCTCCCTATCGTTATCAGAATGACTGCCTTATTGTGTGACTTTACATCCCTCAGATGGCACCTTTCCCTTACCGACCTCCACCGACGCCTCTGATTCAACAACGACCAGTGATAGCTCCTTTGTTCACGCCTGTTCAGCCGGCATCATTCATTCCTTGGAAGCTCTTTCTCCAGCTCCTTGCGGGGACCGTCTGCATATTTATCCTTAGCGTTCTAATCTGGAAATTCCCACGCCTCCTGCGTTCTTTCACCAAGGGTAGGGTTCTGCGAGAGGGCAACACCCCTTCGTCCCGTTACGCCAAAACCTGGTACGGCTGGGTGTCCGCTCAACGGCACGAGGCCAGAAAAAGAGCCATTCGAGACTGCATGTCAAGGATACACAGTTGGAATCCGTGGAGGTCGACGAGCGCGGACTTCGAATGGGTCTGGCAGTACCCGGGGCAAACGGAGCTCGCCAGGTACCACAAGAGAGGGGGTCCAGATATGCCTCGGGCTATACCGTACGGTTCCCAGACCATCGGTGGCATGCGGAGCAATTTGAGTCCTTTTCGGTACGACCGCATGACAATTGTCGGCCTAGAGCCTGTCTCGCCTCTCTTTGCAACCGGTGCACTTCAAACAACCCAGACGACTCGACCGATGGCGGCCCCAGTCCGAGGTCCTACACGCACGGTACTTGTACGGAAGGGCGTAGGGGGCAGCCATTTATCGGAATATTCGACAGGTCCTCAGAGGCGCCGTGGTGGGACTCCGCATGGGTTTCGTTCAAACGCAAGCTCACAAGCAATGCCCTATGTGCGAAAGACATTCACATCGCCCCCAGAACTTCCGTTTCCTCGGATCTCGAGCCGTGCTCCGCTGGAATATATAAAATATATGCAGTCATCCCCGCACAGCTATTCTATGCCGTGCCTTTCGCAGCCGACGCGATATCCTATACATCAACATGCACGGTCAAGCATAATCTCCAGATCCAGGATAAACGGAAGTGAAGATTTACCACCGAGAGCCAGTGCCGCATATTGTTGCTCGCGAAAATACCAGGTTTGGTCTGCTCGGATGGGATTGCAAACCCTCAAATGTCTTGGATACAGCACTCGCACTTTGCCGATAGGTCCTCCAGGGAGTCCCAAGTCAGGAATTCTCGGAAGCCTCTCAGTTGAAAGTGCTACGTTTGAGTTAGTACGCCAATATCGGCATAGTCCGAAATGGACATCTTCTTCCGACATCAGCGACCTGTTCCTCTGCAGCAGCGATCAACAGCACAATATTAGACGATCCGCGTCCTTGGCCGAACCCAAATGTGAAGTTAATACGCAGAAGGAATGGCACACTTTACCCCTGTTGCGGAATCATATGGCCCCCTCCCATCGACCAACACTTCTAACTTGGTATGAAAACTCATTGACGAGCCAGAAGACTCCAGTGACCCAGGTTGTGCTCAAGGGCAAGCGGGCGAAACGGGGGCGACTGAGATGTTCAAGCGCTGGCAAACTGCCACATTTGGTAACTCAGCCCAAGAACTGGAGCAACTGGGAGGTGCGGCTGATAGAGAATTTGGATCGGAAATTGGGTTGGATCTCAGATCAATTGACTCCGGGACAACGACCTTTCCATTTCGCACTACTTGCAAATCATTGGCTGAACCGAGAGACTTGGATCGTGTACGATCCAGTCTCACGCGTTGATACTGAGAAGCGACGAATCTGGGGGGATCCGCGATTCAATGTCCCATATCCCAAGCCAACATTGCCTCCCGTTCCGAGAGTTCTAGCGCCAAATCGTCGGTTGACGCACACTCCCAAAATCAAATCATGGAGGCTTGCAGTGAATCGTCATAGGAAGGTATCTGGGCTGCAAGCATTCCTACACTCGATTGAACACTATGACAGCTCAGTCGATGAGCCGCCAGCTGGCGAGATAGACCCATCGAGCTGGGTTCTCCGAAAACCGCCACAAGGTATCAGTCTATCCGCTCGGCACGGAGAAAAGTATTACGAGGGTGGAGCAGGCTGGCAAGAGAAGCTGAGCGACTGGCAAAGAATAAGGCGCGGATATCGAATCCGCAAGGCAATATACGAAGGTCGCGTAAATAGGAGAAGGGCCAAAGAGATTGCTTATGGCATCACTCGTTACTATCGACAAGCTATCAAACATCTTATGCCCGATGCTGATCACTACCCCGGGGAGTCTTGGGAGCTATCGATAGACGACTCGTGCTGAAATATATATATTCGAAAACTAAATAAACCCGCAGCCTTTACCAAACATTGCATTATGCTGTTCGTTTTTCGCTTGAAAGAAAAGAGTACAGCACATCGTAGTATACTTAGTAAACGTAGGCTTATGAAAATTGATCGAGTGTCGAGTGATTCTTAACGCACCCTCTGGAGATATGCTTCTGAATGGTAATATTGATATGCTAGATATTTCAAACTAGCAGCATTCTGACCAAGCCGACTAAAGGGACAGATATCAGGAATGCCTCAAGAAGCATCGCAGATATCAGGTACATGACGCATACAGGAAGTGATTCCTTATCTCCGAAACTCCGTAAAACCCAGGTTGCTTCTTCGTACCCGTCTGCTCGTCTTCGAAGTCGCTTATATCATGGTACAGGACGAGGTGTATAATACAGTGATGAAGTAATGTCGATTGCGGATATCCGTTACGGGTAGATGGGTGTGGTGGATGGATAGGCGTGTAGGGGGCAAAGCCGAGCGCCGTTTCAACAAAATCCCAGCAAAACACGAAAAAGGATATGTTGATATGCCGCTCAGAAACCAGGGGGGTTCACGCGCTGGCTGACTCTCGTCCACTTCGGTAATTCTGACGAAAAGTGAACCAATTAGACCCTTTCCAAACAACGCGGTGGCATCCGCGGAAACCCCCAACTCAGGAAAGAGGCGTGGCTACTCACTGTGAATACCCTTGCGGTATGTCTTCTCCTTCTTGTCGAAGATTGTGTACTTGTCGCGGGGCAGCATCTCCTCCTCCCGCGGCATCTCCTTGAACCACCGGTCGACGGCTTTCGTTGACTGGCCGTTTCGGGCGAGGGCTGCGCTGACGGTGTCGACGACCTTGTCGACGGCGCGGAGACGCTTACGCTGCCGGGCTTTCTGGGGCTGCGAGATACGCCATGGGATCTTCCTATTAAGGCGAGATGTTAGCGGCTGATTCACGTTGGGTTGGGCTAACGGGGATTGCGTGAGGGATCAATTGGGCATTGCCCGGATGGGGACAAGGAAGGCCAGGGATGCGCGGGAAAGCATACCAGAGAAGACCCGAGAATAACGGCGATGAAGGCTTGAACATCATTGTGCTATGACGCGAACGCAAAGAGTGCCCAGAGTCCAGATGTCTGATGAAGACTTGCTGAGGCCGGACGGAAAATCCGGTCGAGGTTGCGGTGGTGGTCCGTGCGCCGACAACCTCCGCGGCGCAACAAAATCCAACTGCTGAGCTCTACCGTACCGTAGGCCAATAAAGTTGTCAACTGCCCTCACGCCGTTCATCCGGCCCTGCATTCCATTCCTTCTTGTCTCCTCCATGTTCTATTTCTGCATATCCTCTCTGGTCGCGCCGTTGGTTTCTTGATTTCGCTCTATCACTCATATGGATATCCGATAGAACCGACCCCATGTCGCAGCCTACAGATTCCGGTGCCACCGGCGAGAGCCCCTCTCTGTTCTGGAGGTCCCTTTCCTCCACTACAATCCTGGGCGTCGCTGCGCTATGTCGGGGTTTTCTATATGCGTGTAGTCGGCCCGAGACGCATGGGATGGAGGCATTTCTGGAGCTCCTAGAGTCCAGGAAGGATCCGTCGCAACGGAAGAAGGGATTACTTACAGGTATAGTTGGGTTCTGTTAGATTGTCGCACCGAGCGAGCTTGACTAACGTGGTACTTGATGGTAGTTTCCAACCATATTAGCGTGTACGTACGTACAATGCGCCTCGACGACCGAGGCCATCGACTCCTAGCCCTACCGCAACGCTGACCGACTCTCGACAGTATGGATGATCCCTTGGTATGGGGATTCCTCCCCTTGAAGTACAACTTTGGGCTGTCTTCATCAAATAGACGATGGGGAATGGCCAGTCATGATATCTGCTATCAGACCCGGTATGCTTCGGTGCAGGCGTGCGCCTTGTCCCTTTGACTGACCTGCGGGCTCTAGACCACTGGCCTTTTTCTTCACAATGGGCCAACTCCTACCTACGCATAGATCCGCCCACTCTCAGTTCGGCGGCATTGCGCAGCCAGCCGTGACCCAGGCAATCAGACTCTTGTCGAAGGGACCCTTCCCCGCCGAACCGCACCTTGCGAGACCCGAGCGCCAGAGCTTCAGCCTGCAAAACGTCTGCGTCGATCCATTTTCCGATCTACCTACGGCCTATACGACCAACGGCGAAGATTCCCACCTCGCGCCGTCTGCATACGCCTGCAACTCATACTCATGGGTCCACATCTTCCCCGAAGGCAAAATCCATCAAACCCCGAACAAGATCATGCGCTACTTCAAGTGGGGTGTTGCAAGGCTGATACTGGAGGCCAGCGAATGTCCGGATGTTGTCCCCATGTGGTTGGAGGGTTTCGATCAGGTCATGCACGAGAGCCGTGAGTTCCCGCGGTTCCTTCCACGGCCTGGCAAGGAAGTCAGTGTGACCTTTGGAAAAAAGGTGGATACTGAAGCGGTGTTCGGAGAGGCGCGAAGTCGATGGCAGAAGCTCAAGGCGAAGGCCGAGCTAGCTTCGCCAGAGACGCGCGATCTTCCGCTTGGTGCTTTGAACGACGAGCTTCTGTACGGGGAAGAAGCCGTCGAGTTGCGCAAGGAGGTCACAAAGAAAGTCAGGGACCTCGTCCTTGAGGTGCGACGGTCTAGGGGTCATTCCGATGAAGACCCCAAGGCGGGTCTCGCAGAAACATGGAATATTGAAGGTGGTAAGGGTGAGGGGAAGATGGCTGATGAATCGTGGGTTCGCGATCTATAAGCTTGGTATACTGTAAATCATGTAACATCATAGAATCTGTACAAAATGAAGCGTGCGCAAGAACCGCAAATATTCCAAACCTTTCACTTATTGCGCACTTTGTTCAACCAGAATGACTCATGAAGATCCATAGGGCCGTCGTGGTGGATTGGGTGGCTCGGTCTGCTCTGCAGGATGACTCCGCCCGCGCCTCAGCCTCATCTCCGACGTTAGTATAAACCCCTCACCATCCCCTCATTCTTCTTCTTCTATCTCTTTCTCATATCACACGCACTTATGCCAAAGAAACACCACAAATCCAATTTTGCAAAGCCCGTCAGCACTCCTCACCACAGCCTAGCCTCGAGCTCCCGAAGCAACCAGCATGATCGCTTCCGATCGTCTGCTTCTCCGAGCGGAGACCAGCCCTCAGTCAACGACCTGATCAGCCATCTGCGCCGGACGCAGCTTTCGCCCTCAGGAGACAACAATCGCGGTGCGCCTCGGCATATCGCTCCGCGATCTGTGCACCCGTCTCTGCGGAACCTCCTCGAGCTCCCCGAGACCCCGCCGCCACGTCCGCGTCCAGATGCTCGACGCACTGGGCTCGGCCAGCGGCGACTAAGGAGGACGCCCGGACCGCCGCCGCCGGATAGCTGGCTCTCCGGCAATAACTCTGATGATGAGGCTGACGATGCGGAGTTGGCTGCTAGTGAGACGGCGAAGGTCATTTATCGCCTGGAGCGCCTCCCCGGTCGGAAGTTTCCTGCGAGGAATAGTTTCCTCCATGCGCTGCTGAAGTCGATGGCTACGCATTGGACGTGGCATGTTGCCTATGACGGGCAGTTTCTTGGCTTGCTGCCGACGCATATCAAGGTGCTGTTGCTGAGCTATGTTGGGCATTATGCTACGGTGCAGCCGTTAAAGATCCCGATGCGGGGTCTTAAGCCTTTGTTTGACAATTCGGCAACTGGCGATGATGGCGGACATGAGCGCTCAGCTAATGGTGATTCTGATGTCATGCATCTCGATCTGAGCGGAGCATTGGGACGATGGATATCCTTCAAGCAGCTCTCTACCGAGCTGTTCATTTCGAGAAAGAAGGCTACTTCTTCTCAAGATAGCGCTTCTAAAGTGGTACCCTTGTCTTGGGAAGATGAGGATGAAAACGATGCAGACTCCAGTCGAGGCAGCCCCGTTCCAAGATCGCTTCAACACCTACGTTTCGAAAACCTACAATACCTCTCCCTAGCACATCCGCATCCAGCCGCAGTGAACTGGAACTCACTGATCAACTTGCTCTCTCGCCTCTCAACTATCACTCATCTCTCCTTGGCACACTGGCCCGTCCCAACGGTCACACCGAACGCCATGAACGCCAGCGTCAGACACCCGACGCAGAGGTCTCTTGTCTTCTCCTACGGCGGCACAGACTCCTACTCCGCAATGGAGAACAACTGGGCCGAGTCCGCCGGTATCCTGCGCAGGCTATCACGGGCAACATACTGCCTGAAGTGGCTGGACCTCGAAGGCTGCGGCGACTGGATCCCAGCCTTGAACTGGGAAGGCGTCGGCCCGCACGGCGAAAGACTATCAACGGGCCCCGAGTGGAACGGGTCATGGAGGGACATCGAGTGGATTCGTCTTGGTCCGGGGTGGCTCCCTCAACCTGATGATGTCGACTTGGTTACAAAAAACCCAGGAACCTCGACTCCGGAGACGGGCGTTTCCAATCGGTCTTTGGCTTTCTCGGTCCATGCTCCCGTGTCTTCTTCCGATTCACCTGGAACTTGGGACGTCGACGAAGAGCGCAGGAAGTATAGGCTGGCGAAGGAGCTTGAGCGGTTCCGGGAGCGTATGCGCGCTGCTAAGGAGGTCCAGCAAAAGGTGTTGCGGGCTAGGAAAGGTGCGCGGGGCAAATGGGTGCATTTTTCGTTTGGCTTGGAGGAATTGGAGGGTGCTGTGAGAGACAATCTGTTGGGGGAGGAGTTAAGGGATAAATACTTATAGATGGTTAGTGAAACCTGTGGGGGATGTTATATCCGAGGGAGCGCATGGCGTTGGCTATACTTACAGCAAAAGCATACTCGGCGAACACGATGTACATAGCTTAATTATTCTTCTACCCAGTCCAGAGAGAAAGAACGATAAACTCAAGCGTCAATGCCCGATTTGATTCCTGATTCCTATATGCATAAAATGATATCATGTGCAAATTTTCCGCTTCGACAAAGCACACCTCCACGCAACCCCAACCCCTTCCACATCCAAAGCACAATTACTTCCTCCCCCGATTAAACGTCTTCAACGGATCGACCTTCCTCCCCGTCTTCCCGCGCCCCCGATTCCTATCTCTCGCCTTCCGAATCCGATTCCCAGGCCCCGTCTTCCTGAGCGCCACAAAGCCCACATCCTCATTCGAAATCCCCTTCTTCCCCTTCGCCGGCATGAGATACTCAGGGATGTGCTTAAGATGCGGCTGGATGCGCGCCGCACGCAGCTCCCCATCATGACGCAGCTGCCGTAACTCCTCGGGGTTCTCCTCAAAATGGCGCTTGAGCTTCTCGGACTTGACGAGCTCCTGGCGGATTTCGCGGGCGCGTGCTTCCTGGATCGCGAGGCGGGTGATGGCGCGCAGGGCATCGGACATTCGGTACCGGAAGGCGTCGACCTGCGTCATGTCGAAGTGGTAGGGTTTGACCTCGTGGCCGAGCTTTGTCTGGCGCTTGATGATTTTCTTCAGGACGGCCTCGTCGTGTTTTGCGGTGGAGATGGAGGTGGGTTTGTGTTTTGCGTAGAGGTCGGAGGGGATGACGAAGGAGAGGGCCATTCCTGTTTTGCCGCCGCGGCCGGTGCGGCCGATGCGGTGGGTGTAGGATTTCGAGGAGGTGGGGAGGTCGAAGTTCAGGACGCACGCGACGTTTTGGAAGTCGATGCCGCGGGAGATGCCGTAGTCTTTTTGCTTGATGGTGAGCTTGCGGCGTTTGTCGGAGGTGGTGGGTTTTGAGGATGATGTTGCGTCTTCGTCTTCGTCGCTTAGGGCTTCGTCGTCGTTGTCGTTGGCTTCGGTGGCGTCTTTGGATTTCCGCGATGATTTTGAGACGCCGAGGACTTCTTGCTCGTCGGCGGCGATGATGATATCGTATACGCCCTTGTTGAACTCTTCGACGACGTGGATTCGAGAGTTGACGGGTAACTCGGAGTTAAGGATACAGCTCTTGATGCCAAACTGCTCCAGGAAAAGCTTTAAGCGGTAACTTCGGTCAATGTCGCCGACGAATATGATGACTTTGCCCTTGATCAACTGCAGCTTGAAAATGACATAGGTGAGAAGGAATTTCTCGTCCTCCGCGCATCTAAAGTTTCCACAGTTAGCAACCATGTCCCAAAAAGACCGGGTTATGCGAACCTAACAACGAACTGGTTAACACCAGCACCATGGTCATCCTTGTCCTCCAGCTTCAAGATGACAGGGTTGCGGCAGAACAATCCTTTCAGTGTATCCACCTCCGCAGTGAGCGTTGCACTCATAAGGAATGTCTGTACGCCCCGCGGAATAGCCTTCGACAAAGCGTTGATATCATCTTCATATCCGTATGAAAGCACCAAGTCCGCCTCATCAATCACAAGATGCGTAAGGTTCTCCAGAGACAGGGCCGAGGTACCAAGGTTGGCAATGACACGGGCGGGTGTCGATACGACAATATCCGGGTAATCTGCAAGCATCGACCGTTGAACCGCATCCGAGACTTTCTGTGTTAGGTTGACGGAGCGAACATCCTTTCCGCAGAATGCAGCAAATGTAGTGATGACTTTCTGGACCTGCTCCGCGAGCTCTCGTGTGGGGACTAGGATTAGCCCGGTCGTCGCCTTCAGGGCGGGGTCGATCTTCAGATTGAACCATTAGCACGCGCTCCCAGTACCTATAGTTTTGCACGAAAGGTGACGAACCGTTTTCTTCTGGAGAATAGTTTGTAGGATGGGGAGGACGTATGCGGCCGTCTTGCCGGAGCCGGTCTTTGCGCGAGCTGCTCTTATCAGTAACCGGCCAAAATACCGTGTAAACAGTCGACGTACCTAGGATATCCTTTCCTTCAAGAGCTAGAGGAATGGCCTTCGCTTGAACTGGCGTGGGCTTGCTGAACTTCTCCTTGACCAGGGCTTGGCGCAGTCGAGGATCGAGACTGAGGCTCTCAAAGTCTTCTGCGCTGTCGGCATTCTTCTGGTCTTTCGCCTCGGTAGCCTCCGGTGAGGGCACGTCGTTTGCGTCGAGCTTTCTCTTCATTTTCCTGAATGTTGAAGAATTGGGATAGTATGCTTCTAGGATCGAACTTGGCCGGAGTGAGTTTGCGTCCAGAAAATCTGAAGGGCGGTGAAGAGACCCGCGGCAGAATGTTTTAGCGTCTCCACCGAGCCAATTCTACTGCTTTGGGCTTAGCGGGAGAAGTATATCAACCGTAGAAGAAGTAAACAATCAAGTGGAACTTCGTTTCAATCACTGGGCCAATCTGGTGGTGGGGACTAATAGACATGAACATAATAAGCAAGAAAGAGAAAACATGTTTATATTAGAGATCATGACGGTCATTTCATAGAAAAGTATCAGCGTATGGAGTATCAGCGTGTGGATAACTTTGCGCATCGGCATTAGGTGCAGCTGTCGCACATATTCTGTCGTGTAAATAGTCCTAAACGTATCTTAATGGATGGTGTTGTATTATAAACTGAGACTTCTTGACCCTCTGCGTATTGAGTTGTGGGTCTAAAGAATGCTGGATGAACACAAGGCAACTCAACCTCATCACAGCGCGAGTTCGTCTCTGGCGTAGTGGCGGAACCTGGTCATTGATCCAGATGTTATTCTACCGATAGGGAGCACTTTGACATTATGCTCCACGGTATAGATCTTGCCAAAGTTTAGCCTCGACATGGGATCCAGTCTTTCATCGGGGTTTTCCGGGGCGACCTCTAGAGGCTCCTTGCTCATGTTTGGCTCTCTGCGGCCCATTTCCGGATTTGTGCTTCGCATATATACAATCGCATGCTTTTCCGGATCGACGCCGCGCTTCGCAACACCACGACCACCGTAAGTGGTTATCGCGCTGAGTAGCGCGCTTGGGGTTAGCAGAAAGATAAAGAGATCGGACATGATGAAACACTTACAAGCACCATGAACACTGATCAAACTGCTTTATGACCACCATGCGGCGAATAGTGCTATAGATCGGTTCGCCGAAGCGGCCTCTATACTGTGGACCTCGGCTAACAAGGGTCTCATTGGCGACTCCTCGCCCATCGTTTTCATGCCACAGGATTGAGAAGACCTAGCGGGATCAATCAGAGGAAACGACACCTATAACGCAGTAAAGCTTGTCAATTTGAGGCTATGTCTGAGACACATACCTTACCCTCACGAAAGTAATAGGGCGACTGCCGCATATATCCTATTCAGTTAGCTATGCTTTTTTGCTGTAAAGCAATATGAAGCAAAACTCACGACGATCTAAGACCCGGTCCGACGGCAAGGTAACGGGATGCTATTTGCCAATTAGGAGGCATTGACCAAATAGCGCGAGGAAGTCCAGCTTACTCCGAGGGGTGGCTCGGTTGCTTCTTCTTCGGGGTAACTGGCATGGCGGGGACCCGGATGTACCATCGGTGGCCCATATCCGGGGAATCCGTTTACATGCGGCCGGCTAGATTGAGGCTGATAACTTTCATGCTGGTAACTTTCATGGGCGTCGTAGCGCAGTGCTTCCTCTTGGCCGTTGTATTGATCTTCATACACTGGTTCCTGGCGGCCGTCAAAGGTTTGACCTGCATATTCAGGTGCATAACCTCGACCATACATTTGGTTATTGGGCCAGCTTGAAGAATGAGTATAGTTGGATCCTTCCTGACTGCGTACACTGCCCAATCATTAGCGTATGTATGGCCTAGCCAGCACGCGTCTAGGGTGATTTACTGGCCAGAGAGCTCCCAAGGAGCTGTTGAATGTGGAGGGACATTTCGCGGTATATCGTTGGCAAATCTCGCGCTCGGAGGGTAAGCGTATTGACCTTGTGGATCGTAGTCGTCTTCATGACGGGGGCCCTGGCGCGGGTCTATCAGGAGGTAAGAATCGTCCCTTAGCACGGAAGTTCCGCTTCCTTACCTGACTGGTAGCGATGGGATCCCCCAGAGAAGGCCTCGGCCTCGGAGTCATACTCGTCAGACATGATTAGAGCAGCTGCTTAGGTCCCACAGGCAAGCCGAGCGACAAATTGGAATGAGCCGATATGCCGTTTCACAGGCCCTCGATGCTGGATGGGATGGGCGTGTACCGCGACGAGAAAAAGTCCAGCTTTGTCCGACCGACTCATGGCTTATAATCTGGTTCCCAGCTTGCAAAGCCATGGCCTGCCAGAAGGGGCCGGGATGAGGCTCTTCAAGAGACCATCAACCCCCGCTTTTGAAGACGCGACTGCAAGTTCTTGAGTTGGTCGACACATGACACGCCATGGACTTCTTAGCCCGATCAGCTCAAGGCCAGAGGGGTGTCGCGACTGGAGCCATCACTGCGTCGGAGCTGGGATTCGAATCTCCTTGCGTGCGCTAGGCCCGGGACGATCCAACCAGACGGAGCCACCCACGACCTTCGTCTTCTCGCTTCCCTCCCTCTTGCTCAGCCCGCTCGCTTCCTCGGATAGACATCGATGTCATTTCGCTTCCTTCTTCTTGGTTCGCTGCAGCCTGTCGTCATCCCATGCGCTGATACGCATACTCTGAGTCTGAGTTGCTCGCCCGTGGTCGGCTCCTCCCGTTTGGCGATATGAAACGGCCATAAATTATTATCGACGGTCGACCCCCTGCGGCCCTTCCAAGTCCGAATCCTGGCTCCTAAAGGCCTCCGACGGTCCTCGTCGAATATGTGACTGGTATTCTCTTCCGCCTATCAGGGCCCGAGCTACTCGGGCCTTCGAAGTGCAGGGCAACCAAACGACGTGTCCGAATCCAGTTCTCGGGGTTACGCAGCAAGTCACCGTGTCTCTTTGTGCAGCGGTAGATGCGACACTATTTGCCATTATCCATTCCATCTATCGGTTTTGGCGTTGGGTTGCCAATTTCCAGTGTCAGCCTGATTAACTGCAAGTCTCCAACCAAAAGCAACTGCGCAGACGTCCACCGTCTGTTTGTCCCGCGAAAATGAGCTTCGCCATCATCGGCGAGCTCTGGTTAACACCTCCACGCCGCCCACCCGGGCTTTTGAGCCACCCCTTGAAAGCCTCCCCCCTTGATCTTCCAGTTCACGTGGGTTCGCCCCTTCGGTCTGTCACCCCACGGTGATGGCCCCATGGCCCCATGGCCACAAGGACCACAAGGGCGTGAGAACCATGGTTGAATTTAAAGCCCTCGAGAATGCATTGCTGCAATACTGGCACAGGGCAACAAAAGCTAAACGTGGATGGGTAAGGCGGCTTACTTGAACACGTCTCTGCCACCAGTTCTCACCCTGTGCACTAGCGCTAGCTAACGATGCCTTTGGTCGCCCTACAGAATCGCCGAAGCAGCAAGATAGACTCAGCGCCACAGCCTGAGAGCCTACCAGGCCAATCGCTCCCTCATCCAAATGCTGTGCCTCAGCATTCGTTGGCTCCATTTTCTTCGCCCGGGATCTCGCTCGACTCATACCATCATATAGACGCCTCTGATGCACCGGAGATTTCTATCCAGGCCACACGTCCCCTCGATCAACATCTGTTTGGCTCCGATTCCTTTCTGTCAACACAACCGAGCCCTAATAACCGAGCTTATGATGAGGGACAAAATGAACGCGAAAGGCACGCCGTGCCTACTTTAGATGAAGGCGACACTTCGAGAGACCCCCGGGAGCTTGAACTCTTGAAACTTTACCAAGAGTTCAGCGACCTCTCCGCCAAAAGGGTCCGAGTCCGGCAGTCACGTATGGCTCTCAGATACAAGCGGGAAGATGAGCTAGAGCTTCGAGTCAAATTTATGAAGCATCTCAACTCCTTCTTTGCGGACATGGATCTCCCCGATGTGAAGCCCATTATGGAGGAATACGAGCTTCTCCAGGTAGCCACGGAGGATTACCTGAGTTCGGAGAATAGCTATCGGCAGGAGGAAAACGAGCTAGAAGAGCTAGAGTACATGCTCTCTGTTTCGATGGAGTCCTTGACCGGATTCCCAGACAAAGAACCTACGCCCATCCGGGTACCTCCGCCAAATATCCATACAGATACTGGAACGTGGAGCCCACTCTCCAATAATAAAGCTTCCACCAACGAGTTGCCTTGCATAGTAAATGCTTACTTGTCGCGTATAGCTGACGAGCGCATACTTCAAGAGCGCCTTGCAGAACTTGATTCCGAATGGTTCATTACGGTGGAAAGACAAGCCGAGAGGAAACATTATAACATATCCCTGGATGAGGATTCGGCTGAGTTTCTGCAGACATTCGATGAGGAAAGAGCCACAATCTGGAAGGATCTCAACAATGCGCAAATGGACGTGATCTCTCTCCACGCGATCTGCCTTGAAGAAGGGCATCGCGGCTTCGACTATGAAGACATCACATCACTCGATTCCAACCACCACTATGTCAATGACACTTGGGAGCACCATAAGAACCCCTTAAGGCTCCCACTCCAAGAGTATTCCGTGTTCCAAGGAGATGCACAAGCCACGCGGTCAAATGGTACCGGCCCAATTCCTATACAGCCCAGCAGGGATGCTCCCAAACATTCCCTAATGACAGGCTCTGAGTTCTCCAATGCCCTGCAACAAACATCCTCAATCCGCTCCAACGAGTTCATTAACAAATGGCGCCTCCACCAACTCCGCATCTCGTCCATGGGGATATGGCGCCTCCAGCGCTCCCCTCTTTGGCGAACTCTTCGTGAACAAGGCTGGAACGATCACGAGATTACCCAGAACATCATCAACAGCTGGTTGTCTGATGAAACGGCGCGGGCGTGCTCACCTGATAACTCCTCTCTCGACCACGCCGACGAGGGTACCGGTGCTGATGATGGCGACGCTGACGCTGACGCTGATACCGTCAAAGGATATGCCCAGGGCCTCGAAATATGCGTCAAGGCGAAGAGGGCATCCCAGTCCCTGCCATCTTCACCGCGCACCTCAGGCCCAAAGCTCGATCCACGCCGTAACTCGGGGCCTTGACTTTTCGAAGTTCGAGATTTTGCTCGGTCCTCTCTGCCCATCCTCTTTTCCAGGTTTCTCTCCGCGCGGCCGAGGGTCCTTCATTGCCTTTACTCTTCTTCTCTTCTTGTGGGGTCATCATATCCATTGCATAGGGTGCACAGTCTGCATAAGCACATCCCAAGTATAGACCAACTGCCTTTTTCCTTGTATCCCGGCTCCCTTATATATAAGTTCTTCTCGTCTCGGTTATTCTTTTCTTCAGATTGTATGTATTACTACACTATTCTCAAGCCATGCGACTTCAACATTCCATGTGGTCTTTAGTTCAGCGAATAGTTCTGTGCTAGAGGTATAGGGCAATAGTATTGAATGCTTCGAGCATTGGAACAGTAAAAGGTTGTCTTGTACGGGTATGTATTCATTCAACTAAGTACAGCAAAAAGAGAGGAGGATCAGTAGTGCTATAAGAATAATACAATTCCGCTCGTATTCTTATCCCGAAGTTCCATTCCATAGTTCATTTCCATATCCATTGCTTCATTAACGACGTAAGCAAACAAACAAACGAAAGAAAAAAAGTAACTTCCAAGGTATCAATCTCATTGTCGTGAGTAGTGCAAATCATTCCAGTGTTTCCCGTGCGCTTCGTGTAGTTCCGTATTTACAGTGTTATCTCCGATCCATTACGAGTACCTCGTTTCTTCACCATCGCTGTCACTCAGACTATCCCTCCGCCGACTACGAGCTCCATCACGTCGGTAGCCCTTGCTCAGGCCGGGGATTGGATGGTGGTAGCTGATGGTGCCGAGGTCTTCTTCCTCTGTCCCGACGTTCGAGTACTGGTAATCGGAGCGAGCCTGGGAGTTCGACGAGAAGTCGAGCGGTTCGGTGTAGTGACCGCGAGATTCACGCTTGCGGGGGCTGCTCTGCCGGGAAGACGAGGTAGGAGGGGGTCGGCTGCGCCTGTCGCGGCGACGGTTGTGTCTGCGGGCGGAAGGCTCACGGAGCATGTGCTCTGTTGTGGTCTGGGACATTGTTTCCTCGGTCCCGGGGGTGAAGGAGAAGTCACGGCGGCTCTGATGGCGTGATGGCTCGTAGGCGTAGTCGCGGACTTCGCTCATCTCGCTTCGGTTGTAGTGTGTCGGGGGAGCAGAAGTGTCGTAGTCGCTGCCGTAGTAGGTGCCGTCTGCTTCGCGATTGATACCGCCGATCTGGGCCGGCTTTTCCTGGCGGTATGCACGCACATCCTCGTCTGCTTCTCCTTCGTATTTCTCTCTTCTGTGTTTGCGGCGGAACTTATCGCGGAGGTTGTGTTTTCGCTTGGGTTCTTTCTCGGTGATGGTTGTAGCCGTTTCGTCGCTGTATGTGGGCGCCGTGTCGGCGACAGTGTATCCATCATCGTCGCCGGAAAAGAAGCTCTTGCCGTTAATACTGCCCCCGCCCAGCCTTGTGCTTCGTGTTGCGGCACTGAGTGTTCGACCATCCGGACCCTTTCGTCGAAGAACAGTTGACTTGTAATCTTCCCAGTCACCCTCTTTCCATACAAACCCGCCGTCTTTCGCCCAGAAGAAGAACCAGATGGTTGCAAGAACCAATGCCGCGCCTAGAATAGCGAAAAGTGCGTACAGTCCGCGCATGTTGATACTGCTTGGGTTTATTGAGCCATCTCCCGGGTGATATGTTTTATCCGCGCGTGCGACGAGGGTGGGAGTTTTGTCGACTGGGTTTGGTGTGAGGGTGAGGTCTTTCTCTGAAGCTTGGATACTCTGGTGGATGCGCATGGTGCCGCTGAGAATGGATCGACCAAGAATGCTGGGGAACCACCCCGCATGCTGCGCTGGAGGCATGGTTGATAGAGCCGTCAAGAGCACGAAGCCCAAGACCAGTCTCTAGATCTCAATTAGCAGCAGTAATGTTGGGTGCGTAGCGAAGAGGCAAGTGCCTTTTCAATGCGAGGTCTTCCTTTGGTTATTCGCGATCTAAGAGTCGGCCCCGTTGGTATAGTTCGGTCGAGTGGATAACAACCAAGTTCAAGACAGCGACCTGTCGAATACTAGGTCACTGTGTTTGACAACAAACGATTTCAATAATTGAGTCTCAGAATCAATCTCAAGGGAGAGAATGCAGTCAGAACGATCGAGAGATCGGGACCCAGCCCGAAAATGCGGTGGTTGGAGAAATGGAGAGGCTGGGATGACGCTTTGTTTGGATCTGCCCGTGGCCGGGGTAACTGCTGACTCATCGCGCTTATCGCCCGCTAATTCCGATTTCTACTACGAAGCAGGCCTCGCCCGGGCGAAGTCATACTTGACGAACTACGCTCTTTATTTTCCTACTGCGATGTGGATATTTACGATGCCAATATCTTGCGAGATAGTTAGCCAGGGTACCATGGTGCCAGTTGTGCTAAGAAGCTCGATTTGCTCCAGAGTGACGGAAAGATCGATGTCCTCGCATGCAGCAGCCCCTGTTCATATGGCAGAAATTGAAAGCACAGCTCCATAAAGGTTTCGATGGTGCATATTGGATTTGGAGCGCATTAGAATCCAGCCGCGCCTTGCGACGTTGAGTGTTGCACTGCGTCAATGTCAAGCTTGACTTGCACGGACTAGAGAAGAGCGACAACTAAGCCTCGGCAACCCATTTGACAGCAATAAGTATGAAGGCGCATATTGCTCTGAGGCGCACGCTCAATCCTAAACGCGGGCGGAGTCCAAGGTAGTCAGAAGGATCTCCTGATCCGTGAGTTATCAAGTGCGAAGCCAAGGCTCGTCCCGCCCAGCGGTTCGGGAGACGACATGAGGATTGGGGACAGGGTCTGAACGGGAGATACTGTTGCACTGCGGCATGGGGATATAAGCCTCGTCGCCCTTGAGTGGCAGTACTAACAGACAGCGAGAGCCAGAGTACAGATGCGTGAGTCACTTCGACACCTGTTTGGCGGGTATTGGGCAGAAACCCGGAACTCATAAAGCAGGATCATGGGGCAAGCTGAGCACGGAGCATGCGGAATGAAACGCTCATTGAGCTTCTCCCCCTCTAAATCTATCTTGCTAAGAAGATAACCCTATTGTTGATGTTGAATGACGTAAACACACTTGGGGAATTGAAGCAATCAAGTATGAGCCTCAGAGAGGGGTCATGGCTATCACGCTAGTATTCTCATTTCTTCTGCGATCTGCCCCGCGAGGAGCTGTCGTGACTCGTGAGAAGGCCGAGTGGTCTCGCCTCGAAATACACCGTAGGACTCAGTCCGACTTTCGCACTGTGGTCAGAATGGTATTCGTCGCCCTCGCGAGGCGAAAAAAGCAATAGTCAGAGGAGGCTGTCGACAATCACTGTGGTGTAATTTAGCAACGGCAAGCATCCCTTGTCTTCAGCGAACAAATGGAGGGGAAATCCGACGCAACCGGGGCAATTCAGAGCAGCATCGGGTTGGAGTTTTCTAGCGTTCTTCTCCGACTTCTATGGGGTTCCCTTCACCGAAAAACGCCTCCACTCCAGTCGACATTGTGGAGGCAAATGTTATTGGGCCGCAACTGTCAGTCGTGCATATCATTAAGGTTGGGCAGCGAGCGGGCGACAATACGGAGGCTGGAGTGGCGGATCTTGATTGAAGGCTGATCGGATGATGCTGTCCTGGTGGTGGTTCATTGAGAATGATGAGAGAAAGACACAGAAAGAGAGGTCAGGAGGAAGAGGAAGACAATCTCTCAGTGAAGACTAGAGTAACAGTGAGGTTGAGCTAAGGATGTTGGGTGAGTCCAGGGTCAGTCGGAGTTCCATGGTTTATCTCAGAGTCCGATCCACGAGCCGTGTTGATCCAGCGGGGTATGTGTATTGCCACGCCCCATCTATAGAGTATAGATCTTGCAGAACTGTCCCCTCAGATATACTTGCATCGATGTCTCCGGGAAGCTTCGTAGTTACGTGCGTCAAACTTTGTCTGGACTATAAGTACCCTCGTCTCACTAGAGTTCTACCTACTGTATACCACCCCATGAACCGAGCCAGTGGCCCTGGGACCGTTAGTATGGATATCCACTCCTGCTGGGGATAAATAGAGTGTCTTTAGGGCAATTAGGATCGAATGGAGCATAAAGCTCCCCGTCTGCCTGAGTCGTCACATGTTCAAGTCAGAGGCTAGAGCACAAGCCGTTTGTAGAGTTTCACAATCTCCATAGAAACCGCCCATCGAGTAGGCCACCAGCAGTTGGCCCGATATATTTCTGTCCCACCAACCGTTCGAAACGGTGTTCGTGTGAGGCAGGACCCGTCGGTGGAATCAGGGTAGAATCATGGTTTTTGGAAAGTGGGCGTGCTTGGGGAACAAATATCCCCCGTCGAGTCCGACTGTTGATCACGACTTACAGACTGCTGAGCCTTGAAGCGGCTGAGTCGGTGACTCCTTGCGTCGCAAGTTCGTCCCTGTCTGTCAGACGTGTTGATAGCGGAGTATTGCCACTGCCGTTCGCGCAAAGGCCACACCCTTCCGGGGTATCGCAGGTGTTTATCCACCGATGAAGAATGAGATCGCGATGAAAAGGACATCTGCCTGTTGAGAGACGGATGCCTGGATGACAGCTTCGATTCGACCACGACGACGGAGGTATATATAGCTGCAGGTAATCGCTAGAGGGCGGAAATCATCCAACATCTGATGATCTGATCCGACAAGACATGGCAGTTAGCGGCAGATCAGGCATCGCTCGTCAGCCACTCGCCTCTGCGCCCATCCCCACCTTCTTGGTCGCTCTTCCGGCTTTACTCGAAAATCGCAGGAAAAAAATATATTCGTCATCTCGAGTCGAGGATTCGACCCGGCAAGGGATAGAGACGAGATAGAAAACATTACTCCGGCTGGGTGCAACGACTTAAAACTCTGCCATCTGCGCGTGCCCCGGCCGCCTCGCATCTCCTCCCCTCTGCCTCCGTCGTCCAGTCATCCAGCAGCCACCGCTGCCACTGGGTGCTTTATTACAGTCGCTATCCTCTCTCGTCCCAGTGCTCGCATTCTTCCTTCCTCCCATCTCCACACCCGAACCCCACCTGGCCCTGGCTCTCCCCTCTGTCAGGCCCAGATCCGGTCTCAGTCTCCCAAAACCCCTCCAACAACCGTCGTCGGTTACACTCTGCTGCAGCCTCTCGACTTTTTCCTCTTTAGCCCTCCACTCACCGTCTGCCAGCCGGCTTCTGCAGAACAAGCGCGCTTCCTCGCTCTTCTTTCCTTTTCGCCTGATCCGTTGGTGGATTCGTGCCTGTCTCGTCTGTTCCCGATTCTCTTTCCCACCACCCACTTCGTCGCTAGTCCTGCGCCAAACTCTTTTGACCAAACACCTCTCTTTTTTCGATGGAGATACTGCTATCTATGGACGACGCCGCATCCACTGCTCATCGCTGACAATCAACGATCTAGACGCCCTCCCTACCCACGCCTCCTTTGCTGATCTACGCCTGTGGACTTTTACCTTGCGACTCGTCTCGAAGAAGTGGATTTCTGGATTGGAACTTTTCAACCAGACAGGGGGAGAAAAATATTGAGTGGGCATCAGTTGGGAAAAAAGAAAAAAAGAAACGGGGAAGAGAAAATTTTTCCTTTGACTCATTTGGATGAGTAGCAGCAGCGCTAGCTGCTGTGAGTGACCAAAACCCCCCGAAGCCCTGTCGGGTCAACACGTTTCACGTCATCCACAGTGCCTTCACCAAACCCAGCACCCCCTCCCGCTTGGGGACCCAACTCGGGCCTTGGCCGCCGCCAAAAAGTCATGTCGAGGAAGGTTCCTCGCGCCGCCTTCGTCGAGGAATATGATGAGGACGCCGATGTTAGCCTCCCCGAAACCCGTCAATCTGCCAACGTCACTGCCAAACGCTCCAAGTCTGACTTGAGGAAGCCCGCCAGGGAGCCTTTCGTCGAGGCTGCCAGTGACTCGGGCTATTCTAGCCGCACTGCTGCCACTGTCAACAGCACCCAATCTGCCCCGTCGGGCTCGAGACACCAGCCCCTCCCTCTTAAAGTTGACACTTCGCACAGAAGAGCTGATCTTGAGAGAGTTCGCTCAAGAACAAAAGAACACACACGCGACCGTAGCGCTCGTCCATCACGAGAGGACAAGATGCACGCCGGCCCTTATTCGGCCGGGTATCCTCCGGCCCATCTTCCTCGCTCTCCGTCGGTATCCCAGAGGCCTGAACGAATGTACCCACGAAACTATCCCAGCAACTATTGGGACGCTGAGCGGAATGTGTATCATGCATCCACGCCTGTTGAACCCCGACAAAGAGAATACCGGTATCACTCGTCGCAAGCGTCTTCCTACGATTACCCGCCTCCGTCGCCGTCGCCGCAGACATCGCGCTACCCCCCCGCAGCCGTCGTCCAGGTTTCATCCAGTCGCCCCCAAGGTCGACCTACTCGGTCGAATTCTTACCATGCGAACAACCGACCGGTGAGCTTCCACGGACAGATGCCGTCGATGAACGGGATGATGTACAGTAGCTCTCCGGTCGGCCGATTTGAACATGGCCCGCCTCTGTCTTCCTCAGCATACGTCAACTCGCCGGCATACCCACCTGGCCCTCCGTCCATCTACGCTCAACAGGCACCGTACTATCCCTATCCGGATGCTGCCAGTCCGCCCGAACGTTTGGATCGTTCAATGTCTCGGCCCAGGGAGCAACCCCGTCAACGCCGACCGTCCGTCTTTGAGCCGCCCGCGATGGACTACGATTCATCTGAGGAAGAAGAAGAGGAAGAGGAGGAAGAAGATATGGAGGAAGAGCTGATGGAACCCTCTCCACCACCCCCACCGCCCGGGCCGCCCCGTCAAGCACGGCCACGGATGCCGCTCCATCACATTGATCGCAGGGAAGACGACTTCTACCCACCGCCGCCGCTCAAGCAGAGGGCCCCGCCTCAGATCATACATCAGAAACGGCCCGAGCTACACCGCAAGCCAGCAACTACGCCATCCGTCGTGTCTGAGCGCCGTGGGTCGCGGTCTCTTGACCTGTCTGAACTTCAGGATGTACTCCCTCCTTATGGATACTACCGAGGGCCGAGCGGACCTACCATCATTCCCGAGAGGAACCGGAGCCTCAGGCGCCCTTCCGTTTATCACGATTCGTCCCGATCTGGCCACCGAATCGCCGTGGAGAACTCTAGCCGGCGGCGTAGGCCTACGGTCTACGACTTTGGTGGGCCGGGCGATGAAATCGAAGAAAAGCTGGGAGGGGCAGAGGAATACCAGGCCTCCCAATCAGGCAAATCCGCGGCACCCCCGATCTCTATTAGTGATGCTCTACTCAAGGCCAAAGCGAGCTCTCAGGTTGGAAGCGATAGCGGGAGCCAGAAGAGCCGGTCGGCCAGCAGCCGCGGTAGTGGTAGCGAGGCTCGTACTCGGTCTGCAAGTGGCGCATTGACTACTACCCGTGCCGAAGACGACGATAACATTGTCATGACGCTGAACGGGGTGACCATGAACTTTACTCAAGAGTCTTTGGGGGGGAAGCGAATCAGCGTACGGAGTGGCAACACTGGGGCCGTTGAGTTGAATATCGAAGGAAAACGCCCCAAGAAGTACTTGACGGGTGGTTCCGAATATACAACTGCAAGCGGTGGCTCCAGAAAGGGCGACCGCAAGTCTGACCGCGCCAGCCGCCGTTCTAGTCGATCGACCTATGCTGCTCCTCGATAATAGTCTATCGCACCAGCCCTGGCCTCGCCTCCGATCAGAACCCACTCCGAGGTCTTAGCGAAAAATGATGCAAGCGAACTGCGTGTTCGATTGGTCTAGTACCTCAGCTCTTAGACTCGATACATATTTGGGACAACAAAGCAGGGAACAATGCAAAGCATCAGTACCTAGCTTTATTGCCCGATCACGATCCTGTCTGAAAATTTAGGGAAAGGCGATCAAGCAAACATTAGCTTGCATTCTCTAGTAGCTTTGGGCTCGGGTTGGGTATAGTTCGGACACTACGCTGGCGAAAGCGAACCAGACGCGCGCATTTCTTCCGTTCTATTTTCTTTGGGTACAGCAAAAGTTTGATGGTTTTGGGTACTAAAAGACTGGCTTTTGAATGGGCAGGCTTTCTCGATTTCTGTTCTAGCATCGACTCGATCATCCTTCTGGGTTTCAACATAGCGTCTGTCGTGTTCAACATGCTTGTATGATTTTTGATGACCTGCAACGATTCGCCTTACGCCTGATGTTCAGTTGATGTTCATGTCCGTCATGTCATACGATGTTTATGTTTATGGATACGGTTATGTTTTTATGTCCATGTGCCATGCCGCCATGTTATACGTTCGATATACCTGCATCTATCTGCCTGTCTGTATAATTTTCTTCTGGATCGCCCAACTTGTTTCTTCATCGTTGTTTTGCGTTTTGATCATGGTCAGTCAGCATGTTTGAAGAAATGAGCCGGGAGCTGGAGGAAAAGATATACCCCTTGCTTTTTTTGGTTGGTTCTTGGTTAGCAATATGCATCTATTTCATTCTTACTCATTCATACTCTGCGTCTGATTCCACTTGCTCATTCCCCATTCGCATCCTTCCTTTGCCTAGATACAGATACCTTGTAGTCTGATTTTGTTGCCCTAGCGAGCTATCATGTACTCATTATGGACCTTGTTTGTTTCCATACCAACTGTCTATTTTATTCTCGACCTACGGCCTGACCTCTTGATGTCTTCCACTTTTCTCCTAGCGAGCACTCATCTCTATACCTATCCTCACTCAATAGACCTGCAATCTACTCGACATTCCTGGTCCACTCGGAGCTTCTATAAACGAACTGTGTTCCTCAACCCCGGCTTATACACAGAGTATCGTACTACGCATTCCAACCCAGAAAGGCACGACCCCGGTCGTTACCAATCAAAGGCGCAAAGTATCAAAAGCAGCGTTTCGCTTTGCATCTTACGCCGCTGGCATTGCATAAGCATTGAGGATATTATGTAATGTCTGCGTGGTACGTGAGTTGAGAAAATGCTGTATCTTGCAGAAACCGTTTATATATATGTAGTAACAATGGACCTCAGTCTATATAGCCTCCAAACACCTCAACCATCTGCATCCCGCGTAATACAGCCCTCACAGCTCACTAGAAAAAAAAGGGAATCTAGTATATATAACAAACGAAGTCCTCATCTGGGCAGCCCCGAGCCCCATGTATGCGAATGTATAAAGAAGAGGAAGCCAGACTACGACCTCCTCAAAACCAACACAATATACCCCAGCACTCTATACCCCACAATAATCCCCAGCAGGATACCAACCCACTTGCCCGTCCGCCCAGTCGCATACCCATAGCTCTCCAGCACCCCCGTCCCACGAATCTGGCACTGATCCGCGAGATCGGTGACGTACATGCAATTACACCCGGACCCGTTACCAGATCCCGCGGCAGAGCCCGCGCCAGATCCCGGCGTCGAAGCGCACGAGTAAACGCGCCCCGCAAACTCATTAACCATCATCCCCTGAAAAACATAGGCCTGGTAATCGATGTAGTGAAACACATACTTCCAGAACGGATTGAGGATGTTCGGGGACACGAGGAACCCGCCGACGCTCATCCACAGCCCATTCGCGAACGCGACTAGGGCCAGCGCGATCACGAAATTCGGGAATATGGATGTTACGAGCACGACGAGGGATTCGGCGGCCAGCAGGTCGAGGAAGAGCCACATTACCCAGGTGAAGAAGGAGGAGGCGGTGGGGCGGAAGTTGGAGAGCCAGTAGGAGACGATGGAGAAGAGGAGGCAGATTAGGACTGGCGATGCGATGTTAGAGGGGGTTTGGGTGGATGGGTGGGGAGACGTACACAGGAATGGCAGGCCGACGATGAAGTTTGAGATGAGGAATGGGAGGGCGCCGTAGAGGCCGTTTGCGCGCTCTTTTGTGAAGGTTGCGCGGTCTTCGAGGAAGGCCGGGACGTAAGCGACGGCCATGAAGCTCATGAAGGCTGATCCGAAGAACTGTTTCTTGTTAGCGGGGTTGGGCTGCGTGGTATACAGGACGTACGATTGCATTGATGAATGGCTGGATGTATTCCTGTTCCGTCTCCAGACGTAACCAGACGGTGCCCATCATGATTGCCAAACCTAGGGTCTTTAGTAAAGCCGTTTTCAGGGAAAAGAGCTCGACGTACCCATATACATGACGATCCGGATGCCGTACGCCACGACGTCGCGATAACTCTTGATGAGCAAGCGGTGTAGGAGTGAAGTGGTGATACTGAATAGACCAGGGCGACTAGCCTCATCCACAACGACTCTCTTGCTCCCCTTCTCAGTGAGCTCCGCACTTTGCTCTGCCAGCCGGCTGCTCTCAAGTGATTGCGCCCACGCGGACTGAATCTTCTGCACGTCTTCCAGCATCATCGTCTTATCGGAGACAAAGTCGGAGCTCACGATATCGAGAATGAACTCCGCAGGGTTTGTTTGGGTAGGGATCGGGTATCCAATGCTACCGAAATACGACGGAACGTCTTTGACAGATCCATAGTAACAGGTTTTCCCTGCGGAGAGAAGCAGGAGTTTATCGAAGAGCTGGAATGTCACCGTTGACGGCTGGTGAATGCTGGCTATAATAATGAGCTTCGCGAGTCAGCCATGCACCAGATGTCGATTTCGCTTAACTCACCTTATTGGCGCGCGCCAGCTTCTTGACGTACGATATAACCTCGTAGCTTGCTGTCGAGTCTAGTCCGCTGGTAGGCTCGTCGAGGAACAAGATTTTCGGACAGGTGATGAGCTGACTGGCAACGCTGACTCGCCTCTTCTGTCCGCCGCTGAGTCCTTTTCGAATCGGTGTTCCGACCAGTGTAGAGGCTTGGTTCTGGATACCGAAAGCTTCGAGAAGGGTGTTGATCCTTTCAGCGCGCTCTGATCTACTTACAAATCTGATTGTCATGCTTTGTTAGCTGTATCCAAGATTGCTGTCGAAACTCCATACCCGGGTAGCGACAGATCAGCCGCAAACTTCAACGTCTCGCGCACAGTCAAACTCCCGATAAGCGCATCCTCCTGCTCAACGTACGACGTAACCCGACCGAAAGCCGCATTGTCGATGTCGCCACCATTAACATAAGAGTTTCCAGATGATGTAGCGCCCGATGATGCAGCACGGCGTGCAAGAACGTTGAGAAGCGTTGTTTTGCCGCAGCCCGAGGGTCCCATAAGTGCGACGAATTCCCCTATGCAGGTGTTAGGTATACAGCGTCATAAACGGCGAACTCCGATGGTAGTGGGTTTGGTCCACATGTCTTGCAGGTGCGGGATGCAGCGAAAACATACCTTGCTGTACGCTCCCGCTGATCTTCTCGATCAGATTCCGGGGCTGTTTCGTTCTCCGATCTTTTACGGAGACGGTGAGGTCGCGCCACGAGAAACTCTGGACAGAATGATTCATGAGAAAGTCATGGCTGTTGCCGTCTCGTTCCAGGTCGCGGGCGTTCAGCCTGTCGCTGCTGGAGCTGGAGCTGTATGCCATGATTCTGTTTATTCCGGGCGGGGTTTAACTGATGGGTAATTAGACGGCGACGCAATCCAAGGCAGATGTTTGTCCTGAGTGAGAGCACTCCATGTAAACGTGGAAGTGGACGTGAACGGACTGGACTGGACTCGAAGTCGAGTACAGAGTAGCGAAACCCTGCCGCGTACTCGTTCGCAAGGACCAGGGAATGCGCATTTTATCTGTCGTGTAACGGCGACTAGGAACCCCCGTTTACATGAGAGAAAAAATGCTAGACGGCGACAGGGACCGGATGGAGTAAGGAATGTCAACAGGAGCTGAACCAGGCGCAAGGAGTGGCCGAACAATGGGGCCGTGAATCAATGGTTGGTCCCCGAGGGGCCCGTGCCTGAGGGCTGAGGCTGCCATAGTCAGCCCTAGTTGGCGCTGGTCCCCGCTAGCCTTCACGTAGTATTCAGGTGTTCTGCCTGCTCAGGTTCCATCATTCTTCTGGAAACTCGATGAGCGAGCAGGCGTTGTTTTCTCGATGCAAGTAAATTGCCCGACTCGTGCGAGGTCAGTTTCAGAGCTATGTTTGGCAGGTGTCTTACCTTTCGTGCCACCACAGCCGTTTCAAAGGCAGGCGGAGTCCAGCGTCACGATAATGCGCGCTAGGATTATCGTTGTCAGCAGGACACTGTACGCAGGGTTTCCATGCGCTCTACTAACGTCCCATGCTATCGAGCTGAATGAACCTGCGGTCCTGGTTGGTGGAGCCCGTTAGGTCCGCGCCACAGCAGGACGCCGTGCTCGGGGTTTACCCAAGTCCTAACTACAGTTCGCCGGTTAACAAACGAACCAAGGCAACTTATGAATGAGACTGCCTCGTCTGATGCCTGAACCCTGAAAATTATCGGCCGAGAATTTTGATCACTGGCCTGGTTACTGGTGTGCTATTGACTTAGTCGAAATTTTGCATTGCGCTGTCTGAGATCTAGAAAATGGATATCCTGCTTTTTATATTTCGTGTGTCGTTTACATGCTGGAAAAGACGTCAGCATTCGCGGTAATTTTGGATAGTTTGGACGACTTACCGGTTGACGGGGGTGAGACCGAGAATCCGCATACCGTTGTTGAGGACTTGTCGGGCAGCCTCATACAGAGCGAGACGGGCCTTCTTGATCTCCGGCTCGCTACCAATGACCTGCAGGTGGTCGTAACTAGAGCTGACCATGTGAGTCATGCGGAAGAGGTAGGTGATGATAGTGGTAGGTTCAAGGGTCTTGTTGGTCATCATGACAACGTCGGGCCAGGAGGAGAGAAGTCGGATAAGGTTGGTGGCGTGGGATTCGGTAAGGAGGTCGAGGTTCGCTGTGGGGAGCTCCTCTACGTTGGCCTCTGACTTGCGGATAATGGAGGAGAGACGGGAGTTGGCGTATTGCAGGTAAGGACCAGTGTCTCCTTCGAACGACGTCATGGCGTCGAGGTTGAAGTCGTAACCGTTGATACTGTGTTTGCGTTAGATGATGAAACTTACGAATGGCAAAATACGTACCGCTTTCCAGACATGTCTTGAACCATGACGGAAGTGATACCCAGGATATCAGCCGTGGCTTCAGGGTTCTCAATCTGAGCGTACTTCTCAGGGTTCTTCTTCATGGTCTCGTGCATCTTGTCGGCAACGTCCCTCAGGATATCATCCAAGAACTTCACGGTACCCTTGCGGGTACTCATTCCACGGACCATACCGAAGTTGATGTGCTGGCAGCGGCTGGCCAGGTCCTTGAAGCCCATGAGCTCCACGATCTTGAACAGCTGAGCCAAGTGAAGATCCTGCTGGGCAGCAACAACATAAATCATCTTGTCGAACTTGTAAGCTTCCTCACGCTCAAAGATAGCACCAATGTCACGGGTCAGGTACAGAGGAGTACCATCTTTTCGGACAATGACGGCCTTTCCAAGCTTCTTGGCACCGTGCTTGACGAAGTCGACGATGGTGGCACCCTCGGAGTTCTCCGAAACACCAGACGACTGCAGAGTTTCGTTGGCCTTGGACATGCTCTCCTGCTTGATTTGAGACTCTCCTGAGTACACGTCGTAATCGATGTTGAGGCGGGCATAGGTTTGGCGATACTTTGTGATACTGAGGTCACGGAATCGGCGCCAGAGGCTCAGGGCATCGGGATCACCGTCCTCCATGCTCTTGAAGTAACGACGAGCCTTCTCGTCCTCACTGACATCGACAAGCTTCGCGAGTTCCTGCTCAAGCTCTGCGACATCCTCGTTCTTCTCCTTCTTCACCTTGATCTGCTCCTTGAGCTCCTTGATCGGACCCTCCTGCTCCCCAACAATGGCGTTCACCTTGACGTAAACCTCGAACAGGTGGTTGATGGGATCCTGCAGCAGTTTCTGCTCGTCACCGAACATCTTGTATCCGTTCGCAAGCAGACCGTACTGCTTACCCCAGTCACCGAGGTAGTTCATCTTGACGACATCCCATCCCATAACAGTGTAGAGGTTGGCCAAGAAACCACCGATGATGGTACTTCGCAGGTGACCGGCGTGGAAGGGCTTCGCGATGTTGGGCGACGAGAACTCGATGATGATCTTCTTCCGGCCCTTGGAGGGGTCCTTGGGGTCGCGCAGACCCTGGTTTCCATTTGATCCGAACGCATCCTTGTCCTTGAGAATCTGACCGATGACGCGCTGCGCAAGAGGCTTCTCCTTGAAGTAGAATTGGAGGTGGATGCCGCCGGGGCCACCAGCGACAGGGGGGTGGATGATGTCGGATGCCGGGAACTTCTCGGCGAGTTCCTTGCTCAGGTCTGCCGGGCTCTTGCCTTTGATTCGGAGCGAGGGGACCTAGTAATGCAGTTCAAGCATCAGCATTGAGGGATTCGCATACATGATCATTGATCGCATACCGGTAGAAGAAGATCGCCCTTGTCCAGGGTGTTCGTGAACTGCAGACGGGGATAGATCTCAACGGCATCGATGCCCGTGATGGAGCTCAAGCCCTCGGAGATGTGCTCCCTGTAAAGATCGACGGGGTTCAGGGTAGGAAAGCTGTTCGGGAACTTGGAGGTCTCCGCGGTAGTCTGCAGAGAGAGCGACTGGACCGCCTCAGGAAGGGTATCAACAGAGGCCATGGCTGCAAAGCGCAATGCTTGGGCGTCGGAGATGGGTTGACGAGAGGGAGTAGATTGGTGAGACGAATAAGGGCGAGTCGGTAGTGAACCAAAACGACTCTGTGGACGGTAGGATAGGATACTTCTGCACAGGGTAGTGGAAAATCGTTGAGCCCCGCTAACCAGACTGCGGCCCATAGAGGGGTTTGATTCTAAGCTCCTATCAAGAGGGGACTTTTTTTCTCGTCCGATGACTCAAACAACCGGCAGTTCTTCGCTGCATCTTGCCTCCGGGCTGGGCGGTGAGAACAAAGAAGATCTCTAGCGTGATCTACCCAGCCCTAGCCCTGGATTTGGCCGTATCGGGAAACGCTCGAGATAAGACGTCTCTGACGTCAACGCTCCAGGCCTGTTTGCGACACTGACAGACTATCTATACAGCGCGGACCCCCTCTCTTTCCTTCGAGATGGACCTTGTCAGACCCACCATGAACAATGGCTAACCGCCAGAAAGCTATCGCTCGCGCTGTTCAGCGCGCTATTCTCCGCTCAGGGCCAGCTCGACTCTCCATAATCCAGCGCATCTTCGCCTTCTTCCGCATCTTCTACCTGACCTTAATCCGCTACGAGCAAGAGCTATTCTACAACCTCCGCAAGGAAGTATGGAAGCTTCCCGAGGAAGAGTACCTGGCTTGCTTCAAGGATGACGGGAAATCTCCAGCCCTGGAGCAGATGGGTGATCTGGGGTTCTCCGGGTCGGTATGTTATCTTCTTTGAGCTCCATCTATTTCGATGGAAGTAATCTGACATGAAAACTGGACGTAGACTTTCTTCCGTACCTCGAACTCTGCATTCCTTGTGAAAAGCGTCCCCCGGCACTTTGAGCACTCCTTCTTTCGCAATGACCTCTTGAGGCCGTACTACGAGTACATGCAGAAGTACCCAGAGTCCCTCCTCGTTTGGATAACAGACTACATCTATGCGCCCTACAGCTCAATCGGGAGCATCCTGCGCACGTCGCCTGCGCACCATATAATCATGGAGAACCTACTGTACGGAAAAGACGACGACGACAACGCCGGCAAGTGGGAAACATACGACCTCAAACCAATCAACTACTTCTACCCGGAGCGCGATCTAGTCCCCGAGCCACTTGTTAGCGAAGACACCATCTCGCGGCTGGCTGATAAGTTTGAAGATAAAGTCCGATTGACAAGAAAGAACTATGAGGCTGTTAAGCGGATGTTGGATAAAGACACGGCGTTCCTTGCGTCGGCTGATATCGTGGACTACTCATTGTTCTTGGTGCGTTTTCCGGCGTCGTCGAACCCTGGGAGTCTAGGGAGGAAGACGCAGTGGCGAGTTGGTGTAACTTCTGCAGATGGGAAGTGGAAGTACCGGGCTATTGTGCTCGACTTTTTCTGGGCTAAGCATACGCTGCATGCGCAGGCAATGACCGGCGCTGTGCAAACATTCAATCTAATAGGCCGCCAGGGTCCGATGAGCATCACTACCACGGCGGAAGAGTACCGAGAGAAATTCCTGGCCATGGTAGAGGAGATGCTCGAGGTATATGTACCACCAGAGCAATGACTGATGAATCCGTGATTAACTCTTTCATTGGCGGTGTCTATACAACACATCTAATATCTTATCAAGCGAAATATGAGATCAAATCACGTCTGACGTTTTCCATTTCCCGTGACAACATGATGTCGTTATATTTAGATTTGGATTGCTGATGGGCTGGCGTCAAATATAGCGCCTCGCGTCGCTTCAAAATTTATATGCCTTCCGAAATTGATCCAATTAGGTATGCAGGTTGAGCATAAATTGTCTGGAACATGTATGTTATTGCTTAGAAGCAGAAAACCTGGTCCTCGAGCTTGCTGACGGGACGGGCCTTGGTGTAACCAAGAGACTCGGTAGCCTTCTTCATGGCGCTAACCATGGGAGGAGGACCGCAGAGGAGGATCTTGATGTCATTGGCGGGAGCAGGGAGGCGTTCCTATATTTCCGATTAGCTGACGCGACGAGGTTTCAAAGGAAATAAACTCACGGTGATCATGTCAGGGGTAACGAAGCCAACACCACCGGTCCAGCCCTCAGGAGGGTTGTTGAGAACGTAGTAGACGCGGAATCCATCATCCTCCGCAATCAGCTTCTCGAGCTCGTCCTTGAGGAGGATGTCGTCGGGGTTAACGTTGGCGAAGATCAGGTCGACCTGGGTGGTGTCGTTTCCACCGTTGCGGGGACGGTTGCGGACGATGGCCTTGATGATCTGGAGCATAGGGGTGATACCGGTACCACCAGCAATCATTCCGAAGTGGCGGCACATGTTGGGGGTGTAGACGAAGGCGCCCTTGGGGCCGCGGACCTTCATGGTCTGGCCGACCTCCAGGGTGGTCAGGTACTTGGAGATGTTACCCTGGGGGTAAGCCTTGACGAGTAGGTCGAAGTAGCCGGCTTCATTGTCGGAGGAAATGGGGGTGTAGGAGCGAACGACCTCCTTGGGCTGGCCCTCAATGGTGGCGGCAAGAGAAATGTGCTGGCCGATGGGGAGGCCGAGGATATCGGTGGGGCGGGGAAGAGCGAAGCGGTAGATGGTCACGTTGTGGGAGATGTCGTTCTTCTCCTGCAGGACGAAGTTCTGGAACTCGGTAGGGTTGAGGACCTTCCTGGGCTCTGCAAGGATGCCATGTCAGCCCACATGCGACATACCTTCGGCGATTGCTGTACTTACTGGGGCTACCGCCGGAAAGCAGCTTGTATGCTACGTAGCTGGCAGCCAGCGCGACGGCAAAAGGAGCCCATTCCTTCTTCAGAATGAAAGATCCCACGACCAGGACAGCGGAGGGGAGGTAGACCCCGGAGATGTTCTCGGGAGACAGAGCACTGCGATGAGAGCATTGGTTAGTTATAAATTCAAAAACTGCGCAGAAGAGCCCAAGCATACCTCATTTTGACGATTGACAAGTCTTCCGGCCGTCAGATCAAAAAGGAAGAAGTAAGCAAGGGGAATAAGAAGAGTGAGAGGGCCGGTGCGGAATTGCAGAAAAGCTTCAGGAGCGAGCTCGGACTGGGCTGGGGATTTGGCGGGTATTTGTGACGGTAATTACGGTACGCGCCTCTCCTCAGGCCATCCGCCGCCCTCTTTTCCGAGCCTTTTCTTTGTATGCAACACCGGTAGGGCTTTTCTAATTAGATACCCTGGACCGGCGTTTAATTCAAATCATCAACACTACTAGATATACTTAGACCAATTGATATCAGGATGCGGAATTTCAATCCCATCTGTTGGGACTTGGTACGCTGACCGCAGGACAGGACAGGACAGGACAGGACAGGACAGGCGCTGTGCTCAGCCTGGTGTGTGACTCCAAATCCCCGCAGCCCAAGAGAGGGGAACAGAAACACCGCGTTTGCCTGTCCTGACAGAGGCCTTACTTCCGCGATCCTCCTTAGATAGCCCCCTGCCTATCTCGACTAACATTTCCGAGCCCTGGTCTCCTCTCCTCACCACTTATCAGTCATCACCCAACCCATCCATCATGACGATCCCCATCGACGAAGAGCCAGCCTTCAACCTAACAGACGTAGACCGCGCAGTCCTCGCCCAAACAGACGAAGAATTCAAGTACCACGACTGGGCCGACCTAAAAGATGTCATTGGTATGGTATCCGTATCCACGACGCCCCTCCAACTCCAACTCCAACTCCAACAGAGATACGTGGGAAAGCTAACCCCGCACAGCACGAGGCGATCTCGGCATCCTCAAGCGGAAGCCCTCCGACCTAATCCGATACCTGGCCTGGACAAAAGAGACCAAGGCCGCGTATGGCACGATCACCAACTACATCTGCCAGCGGCGGCTGGGGTGGCCATTGCCGACGGAAACGCCGGGCCCCAGCTTCAGCAACCCGATCCCCTTTGCCGACCCCGCAGACTACAAGATTCTCCGCAACGACTGGCCCTACGGCTTAGTCAAGGGGATTGCGCATCTGGTCGTGTGGTCGCGGACTCCGATCCCCGTGCAGGATGCGGACGGGGTCATTACGGCGGAGAGCCATGCGCTGATTGAGGATTTTGTGCAGCGGACGTTTGTAGACAGGCTTGCGAGGGAGGATGGGGTGAAGGATCCGCACGATCATGTTTTGTGGTTCAAGAATTACACCGCCCTTCAGAGCGTTAGGGGGTTGGAGCATGTTCATATCCTGCTTAGAGATGTTCCTGATCGGTTTGTGCAGGAGTGGACGGGGGAGTAGTGGTGTCTACAGAATAGAGCACCTAGACTAGACAGGCGCGACGAACTGGAATGCCTCAAACGTGCTAGATTGGGAATCCGGAACCTGATACAATACAGAGAAATAAAGCATAAATGGCGGAGGAAATATCAAGATTGAGAGCCTTCCCTTAACAAAATAGTCATTACCATCACCTCGCCTATGTCTTTTGCTCCTCGACAAACTTGAGCGCCTCTTCCCTTGACACGACATCTATTGTACTAGCCTTTTGTCGGAAGCTGACTCCGTAGCACTTCTCGGCCACGTGCAGCATCTCTGGTCGGAAGGTTGTGCAAATAAATTGTCCGTTCGTCGAGTCAGAGATGGTCTTCAACATCTGTGCAACGGCAGTTCTATACTGCGCGTCCAGGTTCGCGTCGATCTCATCGAAGAGATAGAATGGCGCGGGGTCACAGGCTTGGATAGCGAAGACCAAGGCAAGCGCGCAAAGACCTATCTTTGTTAGAGCAATGGAAGATATACGGGAACCGGAGGCTTACTCTTCTGTCCACCACTGAGTTGCTGGATACGCTGCTGGTCGTCGTGCTTACTGTTGAAACTGACGCTGATGCCAACTCCAACATAGTTCTCGACGCTTTCCCTCGCTTCCTCGTCCTCTGACTCGAGTTCTTCCTCTGCCCGCTGGGTACGGTCTGTCTTGCGCTGGATGACCAAACGACCTCGGCCTGCCGGAACAAGCTTCTCGAAAATAGTAGCAAACTCACGAGACACCTGCTTGAAGGTTCTCTCAATAGCCTCATCCTTGCGCTGATCCAGGACTGAGATCAGGTCATCGATGGACTTTTGCGAAGCGTCAAGCTCCTCCCGTCGACTTGTGAGCGTTTCTCGCTGTTTGGTGAAGTTGTTGTACTGCTCAAATGCTTTCTTGTTGACATGCGAGTACTTCTTGAGTGATTCGTTAGCTTTGTGAAGTTTCTTGACAACTGTTTCCGAGTCCGTGTTCTTGTATCTGGTAAAAGCTTCGTCCGGTAGAACTCCGAGGTCGCGGATATTGGCAGCACATTCAGCTGCTTGCTTCGTCAAGGCTGCCTTTTTCTGCATACTCTTCTCCATGCGCCGTTGATGTTTCTCAATCGACTTGGCAAGCTCCTCCAGCTCGCGTCGAGATTCGGCGTTGCGTTGGCTGAGTTCAGTCACACGTGCGTTGGCTTGTTCGATAGACTCATCCACCTGTGCAAGCCTCTGACCGAGTTTCTCCAGGACTTTGTTCAGGCGCTTCTGCTCACGCTGTGTCTCCTTGATGTTCCCTTGACCGCCTTCATCGGCCATATCTGCGTCCTGGCTGACAAGCTGATCCAGGCGAGGGTTTAAGTTCTCCCGCAGCTCGACCTCCAGGATTGACTTTCGAGTCTCAAGCTCACTGCGCTGGCTAGAAAGCTCTTGGTATTGCTGGCGATACTCCTTAACCTCTGAGCTCAAAGATTCCAGCCGTGCCTCTTCTTCGTCGGTGAGCGCCTTCTGGAACGGCGAGGACAGTTCTGCTTCAAATGCGTCGACTTGGTCTTTCAGAGCTGCAAGATTGCCTTCAACGTTACGAAGAGCGCGTCGTTTGGCATCCAAGTTATCGTTTTGCTTCTGTAGGAGGTCGCGCTTGCTCTTCAGCTCTTGCCGTAGCGGTCCGCTGCTGTTCTGTACTTGGTGTCTTTGTTGTTCGAGCTTTTGCAGTTCACCAACAGCCCTTGTGATGAGCTGATCGAGTTTCTCGAGCTCTTTGCGGATTTCACTTCCGCGGTTCTTCTGTGTCTCATACTCATCTCTCCATTTCGCCAGGTTCTTCACCGCGTCGAGACGAGATTGCCGTGAGTCGTGGAAACCACCGGTGAGGGCACCTCTCTTGTCCGAGCGGTCTCCCTCAGGGGTGATGGCGTTGACTCCGTGGCTTCGGGCATATTGCGAAGCGACCTGGAGGTTAGGGCAAATAATAGTTTTGCCAAACACATGCTGGAAAGCTTTCTCGTACGCACGGTCATATTGCAGCTTCTCAATCATCGGGATTGTATCGCTGGCTTTGGGCATGTTGAGCGGCTTGTTCCTCAGCCTGTTCAAGGGCATAAACGTGACTCTTCCCGCCTTTTCCTTTTGAAGGATTTCGAGAACTTTGGTGGCAGTGTCGTCTGTATCGACAACGTAGTGGAATAGACTCTGACCGGCAGTGACTTCAACCGCAGTACGGTATCTGTCGTTGACTTCAAAAAGCTCCGCAAGTGTTCCGTAAACACCTTCTAGGTCATGCTGGCGCTTGATCCTCCGCACTGCAGCAATACCGCGGCTTGTGTTGTGATCCATCATGTGGGACAGATTGCGCTCTGCACGGTCGACTTCATTTGATGCATTGGTCAGGATGGAGTCAAGCTTTGCTTCTTCTCGCCACAGTTCCCTGAAACTCGTCAGCATATGAACTCAAAGTTAAGCCAGTCTAAGCATACTTTCTCTGATCCATCAGCTTGTCCCTCTCATCCTTGGCGCTTTGAACTTGCTGTTCTACAGTATGAATAGTATCACCTCTTCCATCAATCTGCTGGCGCAGACGTTCCGTTTCTGGCTCCAGGAGGGCAATCTCATTTTCGATCTCCTGGATGTCCTCCTGGGTTTGTGATATCACGGACTGTACGCTCGAGATAGAAGTGTTGTTGTTCTTGATTTCTGATTGCAACCACTTATCCCGCTCGGATTTGTTCTTGAAGCGCGAGTTCCGGCCCTGCTTGGCATACAGTCTTTGCCGAATCGTTTCCGCGTCAGTGAGTTTCGCTTTTGCGGCATCTTCTTGGTCCTTCGCAGCGTTGAAGCGAGGAATGAGTTCTTCGAGCTCCGTCTGGCGCTCTTCAATGGCTGATTGAACGGTCCTGAGATCTTCATCGTGACGCGCCTTTTGCTCTTGAGCAGCGGCTTGATTGTCCGCGAGCGATTTGGCTTGTAGTTCGACCTGGGCAAGCGCTTTAGAGGCTTCGCGTCGTTCGTCTTCTAGCTGCGCTTTGTCCACCTTCAGAAACTCAATTTGTTGTTTGCATTCCGCGATCTCGGCGTCAACCTGGGCCATTTCTTTCTCTCCCTGGATGAAGCGTTCGCGATTGATGTCGGTATCTTCGACACCGGTTTGTCGCTGCTCCTCGAGGCTGTCAAGGAAGCTAGAAATCTCTTGCTGTTCGCGAGAATAGATTGTATACTCCAAGCACCTTCGCTCTTTGTCCTTGTCCTGGAAATTCCTCAACTCATCCTTTTCCTCTTCCAGCTCTGCCAGCCGTTCGTTAATGAAGTCCAAGAGCTCGTCGATCTTCTCCCGTTTGTTATTCGTCTCGTGCATAATCTTGAGGGACTCCGCACGGCGTGCTTCGTAAACCTGAGTTCCTGCGACTTCTTTCAGGAGGTTCAACCGTTCGGAGTCCTTCATGTTCGTAAGCGCCGTGACGCGACCCTGGGGCACGATATAGTAGGGGTTGGATCGCGAGAAACCGGCCGACTCGAGTAGATTCATCACGTCGTTTTTCGTCGCATTCTTTCGGTCGAGGGTGTATTCATCTTTCTTGAGGCCGATGGTTCGCCTAAGAACGAGTTCGGGCTTTCCGGTAGGGAATCGCTCGTCGGAATTATCGAAAATGATCTCAACGTATGCCGACATGACTGCGGACCCGGAACCTTCCTACTGCGTGTAAGCTTTGTTGCGCAACGGCGGGATGCTACATACGTGCAGAAGAGCCTGTCTCTCTTCCCTGCCTAGATGAGTGTAGGCATCGCTGAGGACGAAACGAATGGCCGCGAAGAAGTTACTCTTCCCGGAGCCGTTGCGGCCGACAATGACATTGTGTTTTGGCGAGAACGGTTCAATGACCGTCTGATCCTTGTAGCTGAGTTGATTGAGATGCATCAGCTCCGAACCAACAATCGATGCTCACCGCGCTGGGGCACTTACCTCTTGAAGCCCTGGATAATAATCTGCTTGACATACATCTTTGACCGACAAACGCGAAGCTCAGGAACCGCGGTGTTTACAGCATCACGAGGGCGAGACCGCCGAATTTAATGCCCACTCACCCCAAGAGTGTGTCGCAGAGCAATCAGAAATGCAAACGATAATGGCGAGGGCCTTTCGTCGGATCAAGTGTCGGTACCTTGACATGCGACAGCCCAGACGCGACCAACGCGTTTCTCTTCCGCCAGCGGGCTTCTGCCGGGCGGTCAACCTTGTCCTCTCCACCTTCATCCTGTCCAATCAGAAATGTGATCTCGATAAGGCACTTTTTTCTACCCAAATTTCTTGATCACAATTGATCTCCTACAATTATCGGTTGGGAGATAATCGGACGGTACCGCCATCATGTCTTCAGATCCGAACACTCAAGGCGCTTCCCCTGCCGATGGCATCAATCCTTCCCACACATACGTCCCCAACAAAGGCTATGCCGATTCTGATGGCACAACCCCCGCCATGGCGGGGCAAGATCTGACTCCCGAAGACGAAGATTACGAAAACGATGAATATTACGATGATATTTTCGAGGAGGAGTTGGATGAAGGTGACTTCAGCTCGTCAAACCCGGCAGACCTCACAAAAGCCTACAACCGCCAACGGAAGACCAACGAGCTCGCCGCCGATCCTAATGCTCCCAAGTGGACGTACCCGAAGACGAACACGCAGAAGCCTACTGTCAATACATACGCATCCGTCGATGATGAAGTAAAGTCGCTGACTCGACACGCGGCCAAGATCAAGCTCGACAATGTGCAGTCCGGACTGGCGGTGCGTGGTGGGAGCGGTACCGATAGGGCGGACAGAGCTACGTCTGAGCAGGTGTTGGATCCCCGAACTCGCATGATCCTTCTCCAAATGATCAACCGCAACATCGTTTCCGAGATTCACGGGTGTCTTTCCACCGGTAAAGAGGCCAACGTATACCACGCCATGCTGCAACCCGAAGACGACTTCGATGCCCCGCCGATCCACCGCGCCATCAAAGTATACAAGACGAGCATTCTGGTTTTCAAGGACAGAGACAAGTACGTTACTGGAGAGTTCAGATTCCGCTCCGGGTACAACAAGAGCAACAACCGAGCGATGGTCAAGCTGTGGGCCGAGAAGGAAATGCGCAACTTGCGGAGAATCTATGCTGCCGGCATCCCCTGCCCTGAGCCTATCAACCTACGACTCCACGTCCTCGTCATGGGCTTTGTCGGAAACTCCAAGGGCATAGCCGCTCCTCGACTGAAGGATGTTGAGTTTAGCATTCCTGATCCTGAAACAAGATGGCGTGAGCTCTACATTGAGATGCTGGGGTACATGCGTGTGATGTATCAGACTTGCCACCTGGTGCACGCCGATCTTAGCGAGTACAACACCCTTTACCATAACAACAAGCTCTACGTTATCGATGTCAGTCAAAGTGTGGAGCATGATCACCCTCGCAGTTTGGAATTCCTACGTATGGATATCAAGAACGTCAGCGATTTCTTCCGCCGAAAGGGCGTCGAGACAATCTCCGAGCGCGTCGTTTTCGAGTTCATCATCTCTGCCGATGGCCCAGCCGTCGTGTCGGAGGAGTTGAGCGAGGCTGTGGAGAAACTTTTCTCAATCGAAGTCGAGGGCGGAAACGAAGTTGACACCGCTGTTTTCCGTCAGCAGTACATTCCTCAGACCTTGGATCAAGTCTACGATTATGAACGTGATGCGGAGAAGGTCCACGCCGGTGAGGGTGCCAACCTTGTATACAAGGATCTCCTTGCCGGTGACAAGCCTTCCGCTCCTGCAGACGAAAGTGCCGAGTCCGACTCGGAGGTCAGCGGTGGTGTCTCGGTTGAGGGTTCTGACTCTGACGATGATGACGAAAAGGATCCTTTCGAGAAGAAGACCCCTCGAGGAAAGCGTTTTGAGGACAAAGACTCCAAGAAGGACCACAAGAACAAGGTCAAGGAGGAGAAGCGCGAGAAGCGGGCTAACAAGATGCCCAAGCATTTGAAGAAGCGCCTTGTCTCCTCGTCCTCCAGGAAGCGCAAGTGAACGACCAATCCCATCTTACGCATCACGACTTTGCGTCAACTCTGCTTTTGGGCAGCTATGAACCTTATGGGTGTCATCCGCGCATCCAGATCCTCGAACCGCAGTCACTACCTTGACATGGTAGTCCGGTTCCCCACTCGGCGGACGCCATCAGTCCCGTGGAGAGGGAACAGTGCCCTCAGTGCCTTTTGAAGGCGAAACTAAATACAATAGATCTCATGGGTTACGATATAGAACTGACATATGACATGAACTATAGAAGACAATACTATCTCAACCATGGAATCGCCCAAGTAGAGGATCGTTATTTCTCCCAATGAGCCGCATCATACCCCTCCATCAACGCCGTATACTCCTCCCCATCCCTAACCCACCCCTTAATACCCCCCTCCAACTTCCAACTCTTAACCTCACTCTCCTCAACGCCCTGTCCTTCAAGATAATCCGCAAACCATCCCGCCGCGCGCGTTCCGCGTCCCTGCGACGACCCTGCCCAAAGACCTCGTCAGACTATTCCCAAAACCGCCCAACGCCACACTCCCACTCCAGGGAAGAGACTAGCGAACGTACCACAATAAAATATAACATCCTTTACCCCCGCACCCTTCACGAGCGCAAACAATGTCGGCAGCGACGGGTATAGGCTCTGCGCGGGGAGATTAAGACAGCCCTTTATCGAGCCGCCTTCAAAGTCATTCCTGCGCAGATCGATGACGAGGAAGTCGGATCCGGGGTTTCGGGAGCTGTCTGGTTGCAGCCATTTGAGCAGTGTTGAGCGTGGGAGGGACGCGGGGTCAGTGGTTTTGGGGGCGGGGAAGGAGGCGTGCCAGGGTTGTTCTTCGGGCATGGTGGGACGGTTGGAAGATGACGCTGAGTAGATGGGACTTGGTTTGGGGAACTTGGAAATGAGATGCTTTGGGTTTTTATGTCTTTCTGGAGATGGTTTGGGGATGTCACTGCGGGGTTGTTATTGGTGGTGGATTGTGGGGGAGGACGAGACCATCACCTTCCAAGGCTTCAACTTCACAACTGTTCCATACCTCTATAGAATCAGAGAACTGCCAATCAAATGCAGTAATCATAAGGTTCTAACAGTCAAAGTCTTGAATAGTACGAATAGCTCCACCATCCTGGTTATCATCCTGCTCCACTTCGTCCTGCACTGCCCTGTGGCAGAACTATATTCTGACGACAGCCTCAACCGCACAGCCTCCATCAAGGCAACCACCACCCACCCAAGTATCACAAACGCTGCCTGCAGCAAAACCTTTCAAAAGAGCATCTACATAAACCTCCCGAGGTCCTCAGACTCCATCAAAGACACCCAGTATAGTTATACCCACCGCAACCCTCAAAATGACAACCAACATCCCGCACATCAACCTCCTCTGCATGGAAGACAAATTCATCGCTGCCTTCCAAAACGCCCTCGAAACCCTCAGACCACCAATCCCCCACACAACCAGCAACAGCAACACCTACACCATCGGCCCGATCACCCTAACAACCCACAACACCTCCCTCTCCCAACTCCCCCCCAGCACAAAATACGACCTGATCGTGTCCCCCGCAAACTCCTACGGCCGCCTCGACGGCTCCTTCGACGACGCCATCTCCCGAGCATTCTGCCTCCCAGACCATCCCTACGACACCCTCACAAGAGCCGCACAGCGCGTGCTCTACGATAAACACCGCGGTTTTGCGCCGCCGGGGTCCTGCACGCTCGTTCCGTTCCCCGCTGAGCTGCTGGACACAGACACATCCGATTCCACAGCCCGCGGACGGAACCCGTGGGGATGCGCGTGGGTGGCGATTTGTCCGACGATGCGGGTGCCCGATGATGTGCGCTGGGACCGGGAGGTTGTGTACGAGTGTGTGTGGAGTCTGTTGTGTGCGGTTGAGGGGTGGAATCGGGGGTGCCTTGGTGATGGGGATGCGGCGAGGATCAGGAGTATTTTGGTGACGCCGATGGCGACGGGGTGTGGGGGGGTCGATGCGACAAGGTGGGCGGAGCAGTTTGTGCTTGCTTTGGCGCATTTTGGGGAGGCGGTTATGAAGCCGGAGAGGTGGGGGGGTCTTGGGTGGGAGGAGATTTATCGGGATGTGTGGGCGGTGCAGAGGACTTGGAAGGGGGAGGAGGGGTGGAATGAATGAGGAAGCTTAGGTTCCGGTTAATTCATGGATGGATCGGGTGTTCAACGTATTGCTAGGTAAATTGTAGGTTATGGACCCATCAGAGCTCTCTTTGATCATCGTTCGAGTCTGTTATGCGTCCGCAGCGTTTACATCAGGCCGTGGCCGAGTATACATCAGCGTCTGCATCGACTGGATCAGTCCAGGCTAAGCCTGACAGTGATTGTTCATCATATAGGTCAGAGAAATACAACTAAGCACCCGCATATGGTCAAACATAAGGTACGTAGATAAGTAGGTAGTCAATCTAGGCCTGCTGGCCAAGTACGCTCTGCCTCTTGCTCTTCAACCGAGCAAGCGCCTGCTCAACAAGTGATTTAGGTAGATCAGGGATAACTTCACCGGAACTGGAACTAGTATCCCCATGGGTATGGCTGGGCTCCGGCTGATCCTGCCCGCCCTTATCTGGTTGGGGACCTTGACCCTGGTCTGAATCGAGCACGCCTTTCAACAAACCGCCGGAGATACGACAAAACTCAACGCGCATCGGCTCCCGGCTTAACCCCGGCCAAATGTCAGACGGGAGAAAATCGCCTTGCTCAACGCGGAACGTCTCGCGGGCATGGACATCCTCTTCGTACAGCACGTCAAGTTTATTCCGCGCGTCACGGAGGATTTTCTCAACGCGGTGACGCACATGTCTCCGTCTTGCAACCTCAATAATTAGCCCGTCGTACGCATCCAGAAACCCGTCGTATAATGAACTGAGATCCGAGAGGTCCGCTAGCCCGCTTTTGATCCGGTCGTGCTCGTCGTTCCAGACGGCGGTGAAGGCATGCGCTTGTGCAATGTACCCCGGTAAACGGGTTGAAGCGAGGGATGATAAGTGAGCGAATACCTCTTTTGTAGCGTTGTAGATTGCGGCGAAGGAATCCCGTTGGACTGTCAGGGTCTCCAGAACAGATTCCATTTCGCCGATACGGTCTTGGATCTCCATCACGACATCCTCGGCCTCGGCGGCGTCATTGATGATGACATTGACCATTTCCCGATACTCCGAGTCACTGAGGGGGTCGAGTGGGGCGTTTAGGTTTGCGTTGATATCTTCCTCGATGTTTGGGCCTGGACCAGGATGGCTGCCCATTACTTCGGCTGGCATGTCGCCCGTGATGGATTGGGCGGCTGCTCCGCCGCCTTCGGTGTGTTTCACTGCCGTGACGCAGAGATCAAAATGGCGGACTAGCGATTCTAAGAGGTTGGCCATTTCTTGCGCGTGCATTTCAAGCGAATGTACCATTGACGGCATGGAAGATAGGGACGATAAACTGGAGCTAGACCCTGACTGGGAGCCTGATGAAGACACTGATCCCCGGGAAGAGGCTAGCTTTGTCGTCGCCCGGTACGTGCCCAACGCCTGTTTGATAGACTGCAGCTCGTCATCAAAGGCATGATTCGAAGAGTCAAGCTCCGCCTGCGCGGTATTGGTACGATCGATCGAGTTTTTCAGCGTCGAATGCAGCTCCTCCACACCACGTTCATCCACAAAATCATGCAGACTCTTTGGCTGTTCCCCCTCTGGCCGAAACGAAGCATGCACGATTGTCTCGCGGAGCAAGCCAAGCGTCTTTCTGAGCCGCGCGTCCGCTGCATCAAGGCTCTTCAGGGCTCCTGCAAATTCCGAGCGACCCCTGAGTGATATTTCTTCTACCTCGGCTCGGACGTTGTATAGCAACCTGAGCTGGTTGTTGAGGCCGCCACGTAGAAAACCTGTGCGTGCGGATACCACGACGCTGTCTTCCAGTGTCAAGCGGGCAGCCGTAACAATCTCATTTGCGCGCCATACATGGTTTATGGATGATAATGACCTCTTTGCTGCGACGAGATGGGAGATCAATGTTTCCAACGTAGGCGGGCTAGTCTCGTGCTGCACCTGCCGCTGAGCAGGAAGTGCGCCGCTTGACGCTGAGGAGTCTAATGCTGACATTATAATTGTCCTTGTTTCGATGACATGAGCTCATCGGCGCTGGGCATAACCGGCTTCCTTGATGAGGTTCAATGGGTTGACAGTTGACACTTGACAGGGAAGGTCGATCGAGAGTGAGATCCGATGGAGCCCCGCCGCATCACGGGACCTGTCAGTCTCAGAAATGCACCTCCGTGATGTACTCTACGCTGAATGCTGTACTACGTTTCTGCTCGAGCTTGCAACGCCGACGAGCTGCTTTGAATCTATAAATTATGACAGGCTTTCGGCTTCCTTCGTCTCGCCCCCTTAATATCCCTGACATCGTCCAATTTTTTGATGTAACTGTGGCAGAGTTCGAAGGCACCATGCGCAACTTTAGCCGCGATTAAACCATCGGTGGCAAATCGGATAACTATACTGGCTGCTCAATTGCTACTTGCGGACTCACGGCAGCGTTGAAATCAGTCTACACATCATCCCCCTGACTTGCGGTGAGACTGACGTGCATGGGTTTCTGCATGGCAGGGGGTCCCTGATCCATGCCCGACGGCAATGCGCAATTGACAGTCGAGATCTTTGCACAATCCCGTGTACAAGTACGACTATGAGAGGCTGTCTCGACTCTCAAATGTACGTAGCTGTAAATAGCGTGATCCCAGACGAAGGGGAGAGCTGGGGTTAGTCTGAAGCCGTAAACGGTGGGCCGTGGAGCTGGCTGAGGAAAAGTGGAATCACGTCGCGGGGGATCTGAGGATTGCGACAGACATCTTGGACTGGCAGCTCTAGTGCAATGGCGAAGGCGAATGGTGTCAGTCCGGGCAAAGATTTCCTTTGTTTTCGACATGCAAATGCTCGATGGCGCCATAGTGCACGTGACTCGCCCAGGTCCCCGGAGCCTGAGTGGAGAACAGCAGCAGCACGAGAGGCGGATCCTCACTTGCGTGATCGATGAGCCATCTTCCTCTAACCAGACAGGGACTTTGACTCTTATCTGCTCCCTACACCGTATACCCTGCTCTCAGCGACTGACAGATAAACTCGCCGACCCCGACTCCGGCCCCTGAATACCCCCGTTGCCGCCCCCTCTCCTCTCTCGATCCTCTTCGGTCGCAATACCACTGTGTTCCCTCCCGACTTCGCCACCAACCACCAAGTTCCTCGATTGCATCACGAATCCACGATAGATAAGGACCGGTCTCCCTCGATTGCCTTTTCCTGCGCAACTGTCGGCGAATACAGACCTAGCACCGTGGTGAGGTCGTGGCCGACAGCTACAAAATGTCTACCGAGGATAACCACACCCTTCACATTTTGCCGGAGCGACATCGCTCGGACGCCAGCGAACCCCAGGACTCAGGATCATTCAAATCCCTTTTCGGCGGCCCTTCCAGTGAAGACGGAAAAGAGACGGAGCTCGATACCCACGACCACACCCATGGCTTTAGCAGCATCAAAGCGCCCGCAAAGCTTGCAAGCCAGAATGTCGCGCCCTTCCTCGCCAGACACATCCCCGAACAGTATGCCCCTTTAGGCGCCCAGTCGATCCTACCGGCCGAGCTTAGCAGCGCAAACTCCAAATACTGTTATCGCCATCGCCCTGACCAGAAATGCAGACGTCAAGCCGACGAGCCGTCCATGGATAAGCTACAGCGGGTGAGTTCTTGTCTCCGTCTTATCTTTCCCCCCACTTTACGCCGTGCTAATGAGTTAGGAATTGGAATCGCTCCCTCAGGGCGACCAACAAAGCATCTCCCACGTCTGGTCTATGTTCTCCGCAGCGCCTGCGAAACACCGAAAACTCATTCTCCAAGGCATCATGGCTCAATGTTGCTTCCCCCAACTCTCGTACATCTCCGCCACCGTCCGTGACCTCATCCGTATCGACTTTATTACCGCCCTTCCTCCCGAGATCTCCTTCAAAATTCTTTGCTATCTGGATACAACGTCACTGTGCAAGGCTGCTCAGGTGTCGCGCGGATGGCGGGCGCTGGCTGATGACGATGTTGTTTGGCACAGGATGTGTGAACAACATATTCATCGCAAGTGCAAGAAGTGTGGTTGGGGCTTGCCGCTGCTGGACCGGAAACGACTACGCGAGTCAAAGCGCGAGATTGAACTTCGTGCTACAACGTGGGACAAGGAAAGCGTGGAGCCACAAACGCCGGAGGCTTCGACGGAGCCGGATCTTTCTGGCAAACGGAAGGCGGAAGACGACGAGGTTGCTGTTGTCAAGCGCCAGTGCTCATCGCTCGGGCCGGAGTCTGGCGAGGTCGAGAAAGCCAGCGACTTCTACAAAACGCGGTACAGACCGTGGAAAGAAGTTTACAAAGATCGCTTCAAGGTTGGCACGAACTGGAAGTACGGACGATGCTCGATCAAGTCATTCAAAGGACACACCAACGGGGTTATGTGTCTGCAGTTCGAGGACAACATCCTTGCCACTGGCTCCTACGATGCGACCATCAAGATCTGGGACACCGAAACCGGCGAAGAACTTCGTACGCTTCGTGGACACGAGTCTGGCATTCGTTGTCTTCAGTTCGATGATACCAAACTTATCAGTGGTAGCATGGACCGCACTATTAAAGTGTGGAACTGGCGGACCGGCGAGTGCATCTCTACCTACACTGGTCACCGCGGTGGAATAATCGGATTGCACTTTGATGCTTCTATCCTCGCGTCCGGCTCTGTTGACAAGACAGTCAAGATCTGGAATTTTGAAGACAAGTCGACTTTCCTTCTGCGAGGACATACCGACTGGGTCAACGCGGTCAGAGTTGACACTTCGTCTCGAACCGTTTTCTCGGCGTCTGATGACTGCACCGTCCGCCTCTGGGACTTGGACTCGAAGACCTGCATCCGGACTTTCCACGGACATGTTGGTCAAGTACAGCAAGTCGTTCCTCTACCCCGCGAGTTTGAATTCGAAGACCACGATGCCGAGTGCGAAAATGACGCCGTCAGCACAACCTCGAGCGATGCCGATCCCCCGTCAATGCAGGCTTCTATGGGTCTAGAGCCAAACGGGGCTTACAACCAATCCTCTGCCTTTGGACCCTCGTTTGACAACGGCCGCGCTGCACCCCCACGCTACATGGTCACCAGTGCGTTGGACTCCACCATCCGCCTCTGGGAGACGACCACCGGCCGCTGCCTGCGTACATTCTTCGGACATCTCGAAGGCGTCTGGGCGCTTGGAGCGGACACTCTGCGGATTGTCTCTGGTGCTGAAGACCGCATGATCAAGATCTGGGATCCCAGAACCGGCAAATGCGAGCGAACCTTTACCGGACATTCTGGACCTGTGACTTGCATTGGCCTTGGAGACAGTCGGTTCGCGACTGGAAGCGAGGACTGCGAAGTGCGGATGTACAGCTTTCAGAGCTGAACCTCTACTTCTCTCTACGATCTTTCACTTTAATGACTTGTATTTATGGACGGATACCCTTTAGCTGGCGTTTGATTTTTGCTGGTTTCGGTCCGTTTTAGCAGCGATCTGGCGTTAGACAGAAAATGAGGCTCGGAGCCATTGCTCAACGCATGGCGAGGGCATACTCATGGTTTCACTTGCTGTTTGAGTATCGAATGAAATTGTGCTTATCTACCAAAGTACGGAGTGGGCGGACATTTAGCTAAGGAAGTACGGAGTACATATTTGGTTAGCGTCCGGGTATAATACGCTGCTTCTTTATAAAGTTAGCCTGTAAGTAGGATTTCCGCACCACTTATAGGATTTCGAGCTATACCTAGTAAAAAAGTAATGCAGACGCTAAGTTGGCGCAGAGAAATCTGCTGCTATGTACTACTACTGCGTAACGCCGTAAATGTCTCTACCCGTCATGCGAGTCCGCGTGGCGCCGTGGCCCCACGTGTTCCTGATCGGCCGACCCACCACGACGGGATCCCGCCAAGACTCCAACCCCGATCTAGCCCTAACTTTCGCCTTGTAGAGCTTCAATGCACCACTGGCTGGGAATCCTGCTCCACTGCAGAGCAGTTTTGCAGAAGAGTCATGGCGGACGATACTTCCGCTGTCGTGTCGAGACTTGGCTTTCATGACAGTATGTTATTTCCATCTCTTGACCGCTATTTACCACCCTGCTCATTCCATTTCAGATTCGCTCTGCTTACCGGGCACTCACCTTTCATCTCCTCTACTAAATCACCCATTTCCTTTCATCCTCATATCTCAAATGGCTCGAACCAACCGCTCTCTTCCATCTCAACCCACCACTCTGCTTAACCTCAACGCCCTCCTCCGCAGCCCCTCCCCGCTCAACCACAACGAAACAATCCTCCCAATCGACAGCCTGATAGCATTATCCAGCCACCAAACGACTTACCCCGCCATCCACCACACACCTGCACAGGCGCCTCTCGCTCCAGACGAGCCAGGCATTCCCCGGCCTATCTCCATCACACCCCCAGAGCCAGCCTTGCTCCGCCCCCGCCCTCACACCCATAGCAACCCCCCCGCATACACAACCATCCCATCCACGCCTCCGTCTCTTGATCTGGATTCCCAAGCCCAAGACCAACCCCAAGACGAACCCGAACAGGCAGCACCACCCTCCTACCCGCAACACCTAACAACGGACCCCCCCGCGCCGGCCTACACAAAAGCCGACCAGCGCCGCGGCCGCAAGATCCGGTTTCTGGATGTCCTTCGGGGCAGACGGCGCTCGGAGAAGGTCTACTGGGTCTTTATGGGGGTTTTGATATGTCTTGCTTTGGGCGCGTTGTGTTTTGGGGTTGTTGAGTGGGGGTTGGAGAGGACGGGGAGGGGGCTTGGGGGGAGATAGTTCAGGCGATGCTTTGGATTCTCTTCTGTTAGCGAGCTGAGAGCTGAGAAGAGCCTTTTCCTTTCTTATCTTTTTTTGTTTTTGCATTTCTGGGGTTTGCTATGGTCGGGCTTTTGGGTTGCTTGCTCTTGCTTTGGAGGTTAGGGACTTTGTCTTTTGCTTTTGGTCGTGGTCGATTGACGGCGTCTTCTTCTTCTTCTTCTTCCTTTTCTTCCTCTTTTGTGCTTGCAGCCCGTCGGCGTTGGATGTGAGAGATCATGAGAGATTGTGCATGGTATTACTTTTATCTCTCAACTACACGAATGTGAGATTCAGTACACCACCAACCCTTGTCTGGTCAACTTCCTCTGCTCAGGGTACATACCTATGTACGTCATGGCCTCTATTATCTTCATGTCACAGCTCAAGACTCAAACCCATGACATCCGTCGTCATCTTCCAGGGATCCGGGCCAGTACTCCGGCCTATCGAACCGCCTCGGGAGCGTCAGCACCGAGGAAGCGTCATCTGAGCAAGACCATAAGGTCAGCAAATCGGATAGGCTTTCCGGCTCTGTCAAGAGTAAAAGGACCCGAGCCATGGATTGACGGCTGCGGGTTAGGGCAAGCAGGCTTGGCACTTGCAGTTCCCGCTTTAGTACGCGAGGTGTGAGATTTGCTTGGGCTGCTGCTGCGTTGAGCAAGCGTGTTTATGGAGATAGCTTGAGTAATACCGAAGGATGGCTTAAGCTCTGTATGTCTAACAACAGCATGGCGTGGTCATGCCACACTGTTACTGTGGGAGCACGTGAAACGTGGTGTGTCGGAGTTGCCGTAAGTTAGGGCTCGGCAGTTTGAGTCTGGGTCTGAAGTCTGGGGTGCGGGATACATGTCCGGCCTGCTATGAACAAAGACTCAAACAAACCTAACGGTCATACTTGACTATGAGCGAGAGGCTCTCAGGTCGGGGAGTTGTCGCGGTGCAAGGACCTCGAGAATGGGTGGTATGGACATGGTCCAAATGGTTGTGATTGACCTGGAGGTGCTCCCATTCAGAATCATTTGCCCAAGAACGGTTTCGCTACGTCAAGTTGGGTTCAGGCGGAATGGCCAAGGCCGTAAGTTAGGATTGAGTCACAGAGGACTCCATTGGCCAGGAATAGAGCGCTACATCCGGATCCTAAAGCCTCTTTTCTCAGAAGCTTACACTGCGCTTGCGTGCAGGCGCGGTACCAAGGTCCGAGAAGTCATAACGGCCATGGCCCAAATCATTTATTTCCTCATTCCTCATTTCTCTTCCTCTAATTCTCATCATTATTCTCATTCTCATCTTTATCTCCATCCCCACCATTAGGTCAAGCCAACATATCAACCATACTCCTCCGACCATGTCCGACATCGCCAGGACCACCATCGTCCGCTACGCCGCCACCCCCCTGGCCAGCCCCAAGCCCAAACTGGCCTTCTCGACCACCGCCCTAACCGCCGTCGCCGAGGGACATGTCCGCTTCGATCCCGACCTCGTCGAGTCTGCCCACCCAACGCGTCTCAAGTCCCCTCCCGCTCCCCCCACGGCCGCGGAAATGGCCATGGCCATGGCCGCCATACCAACCCCTTCTCTCACCCCAGTCAGCCACGTCCGCTTTGCTTCTGATGTTGTTGACAATGTTCACCCGAAGCGGTATGTCTCTCCTGTGCTTGACTCTCCACCCACTCCTCTTAAGCGCCATCGCGACGACGGCACTTATATCGACCGTGGCCATACCTACAATAACAGCAAAGACAACGACGACAAGAACACTTACAGCAATGACGAGGACAATGATGATATCAACGTCAACGACAAGATCAACATCAAGCTCGACTTGACCCTCAAGGACAAGATGAAGAAGCTTCTCCATAAGAAGTAGATAGCTCCGAGGATGCCTTTTCCCTACACCGGATTTTCGTCCCTGCATTTGCGGGTTTTGCCGGTGGGGTTTTTACTGGCTCTTGTCTTCACATCTTGTCTTCACATCTTGTCTTCACATCTTGTCTTCACATCTTGTCTTCACATCTTGTTTCAGTTAGCTTCTCATATCAAGATTGCTTTCGCTTTGTCCCCTGGTAACCCAGAATGCAAGTTGTTCATGTACTCTAGTTACATTTGAATGAAGTATCTTTCATCCCAGTTCCATGTAAGCCTAGGTCACTAAGGAGACCAACCGAATCATTTCCTGCCCCGGCGTCCGGGCGAGCCTGGGTACTCCAAGGAACCGCTTTGGGGGATCTTCCGGGCTCACTCTCGTGTTTTCATGACAAAGCTTTTGCTACCAGAGCCTCTGCTTAGTCCTAGACATCAGTCAGTATGGTAATTGCAGGCCTAGTAGAGAATAGTTGGTTGGCCAGCTTATCTAGGTATCTAGTAGGGCCGTAATGTATTGCGCGTATACGGAGAAAGCGAAGCTTACCACTAGACCAAAGCCGGCCTAGTGTGCTACATACCACTAAGCCTTTTTCAGCAGCTTGGGGCACCATTGGAGCGTACGGAGGACTAAATCGACAATCGCGCAAAAACTCCACTTTCAATGTATGCGCTAGTATTCTGCCGCCAAAACCAGTATATATAATTGGTAGATGCACACACCGCCTTAAAATTTTGGTAATTTACTTAAGAGGTCCAATTTTTAATTTTTTTAATTTTTCCTAATTTTTTATATTTTTATTATTATTTATTTTTAGGCTTATTTTTTAATTATTTTTTTATATTTTTTTATATTTCTTATATTTGTTATATTTTTTATATTTTTTATA